GTCTTTGTGAAATCTTCCTCAATTCAACCCACATTCACATCCCTTCTTATAATTTATTTTCTGTACCAATTATTTGGGCATTCCTCCTATGTGTGTAAACTTTGGAGTTTAGGACTATATAATTTATCATTTATTTATCTTTTGTTCGTAGTTCAGTTTAATTCAACAAACCTTTGTGAGCAATTACTATGTTACAGGTACTATGCAAAAGGGGAAAAATTATTAAGATTTGGGCCTTGCTCTTGGAGAACTGAGTCTTATTGGAGAGAGAAACTTGTAAAAACCAATACAGTATGATACAGGATACAAATATATATAGTCATGCTTCACTTAACAATGGGGAAATTCACTTAACAATTGAGAAATACATCATAGAAGGTTTCGTCACTGTTTGAACACTTAGGGCCACAATGAACAAAACAACACAAGATCAAATCAAGCATAAAAGAAAATGATCCTATCAAGACACTCAGTAAACACTGATATAAGAGGCTACTGTCGGGGAACACAGCATACTGTTTTACAGCAAACTTTTTGTTGTTGTTAATCGTCACCCCAGGATATTTTTTCCATTGATTTTTTTTTTTTTTTTAGAGAGATTGGAAGGGAGGGAGGGGAGAGAGAGAGAGAGAGAGAAACATCGATGTGAGAGAGAAACATTTGATTGGTTGCCTCCCACAAGTGCTCTAACCGGGGATAGGGATCGAACCTGCAACCTAGGAATGTGCCCTTGATTGGGAATGGAACCTATGACCCTCCAGTTCGCAGGCCAACATTCTAACCACTGTGCCACACTGGTGAGGGCAACAAACTTTCCTCTTTTTTTAACAAGAAGAAAGAATGCACTCTAAAATAACAATAAAAAGTATAGTTTAGTGCCCTGGCCAGGTGGCTCAGTCGGTTGGAGTGTCGACCATACACCAAAAGGCTGCAGGTTCAATTCATAGTCAGGCCACATGCCTAGGTTGCCAGTTCGATCTGCAGTCGGGACATGTACGGGAGGCACAGATGGACGTTTCTCTCTCACATCAGTGTCTCTCTCTCTCCCTTCCTCTCTCTCTCTAAAAAAATCATTTAAAAACATATTCTCAGGTGAAGAGTTTTAAAAAAAGTATAGTATAGTGAAAACATAAACCAGAATCGCAGTCTTTTATTATCATCAAGTATTATGTACTGTGCATAATTGTGTGTGCAATACTTTTATACAACTCGCAGCGTAGTAGGTTTGTTTACACCAGCATCACCACAAACACGTGAGTAAATGTGTTGTGCTACATCAAAGCCACAACGTCACAGACAACAGGAATTTTTCAGGTCTATTATAATCTTATAGGACCACCATCATATGTGCGGTCCGTCATTGACTGACATGTTATTTGGTGCGTGACATTATAGGGAGTGCACAGGAAAGAAATAATTAACGCTTCTTGAAGGATCCCACAAAGACTTCACAGCATCTTTTTATCTTATACAACTGTGTTAGGAAAGAGTTCCTGACAAACAATAGGCCAATAAATGTTTTTTGAGGGGACAAATCATAGTCAGGGACAGCTGAGTGTTTTTCAGGATGAACTGGAATTTACCAGGTGTTGGAGGAGAAAAACATGGATGAAGGAAACAATGTGCGCAAACGCATGGAGATGTGAAATATCATGGTGTGCTGGGAAACTGCTGTAACTGTGGAGGAGGAGAAGGAGTGAAGAATCTTGTAGGATAGGACAGAGCCAGAATATCAAAGGCTTTGTATGCCATAGATAGGTAGATGCTTTGTAATTAAGTTAAAATAAATGGGTGAGAATGGAAAACTTCTAATTCTGGAAAAGCTCAGAGTAAACAGGAAGTCATAGCAAAGGTTGCAACACTAACATTGTCAGACAGGTTCCAGTTGACTTTTGTCATACAGGTGCAGTTGTAAAATGGGTTTACACTAAGTCAATATTAAACTGAAACCTGAGGCCTTTACCCATGAAATAAAAGCCAAGAAGTTTCTCCTTACATACCTTACTTTCAGTCTTGACAACAGCCCTACAAGAAGGTGATGGCATCTCTTTTTACCGTTAGATAAACTAAGGGTTGAAGTGCTTGCCCACAGCAACACAGTTAAGCAATGGCAAAGCAAGGATGTGAAGCCAGGTCTACTTAGCTGCCATAATCTCACTTTTCTGCTGTACCTCCTAACTAAATTAGGTATGACTTACTTTTTCAGCAGCATGGCCAATAATAATAATTGCCAATAAAAACTATTGTCAATAATAATAATAAGTTTAGTCTCTGAACTAAATAAAGCTAAAATTAAGTTCCTAGAAGATATTATAAGACCACCGTATATTAACTCACATAAACAGACTTCTTGAATAAGCAATGCAAGACACGTGTTATATTCTTGCCCACTATGGACACTGAACTAGAGTCGTGTAGATTATCCATATGATTTGGGTTTAAAAAAATCCAAACCTTTTCCTTTGGTCATCTTGCCTTGGGACTCTCTGGAGGAACTGCCTCCACACCCTCAGGATGCTCACCTCAGTCCCATCAGCTTTAATCACTTCCCATGTCAGCTTCTCCCCTCTCTCCAGGGAAAGACTATGCCTTCAGAAACCATCTGGAAGGGTTTGTGAGATGCTGATTGTTTTCAAAAGATCATCACTAAATCACTCACCTGTTATTCAGCTCTTGGTGTGGGGAGGATGCATTTTCCAATCTGTGGCAGGATGGCCAGAGTTCAGGCCTTTAATACAGCTGGAGATGTGATGGAGCCCACTAAAGGGCCCTCCATAGTCATCCTCAGGGAAGAAAGCTTAATAGAAATGAATTTGTTTCTGCCATCATTGTCATTGGCAAAAACTTTAGACCAGGACTTAGTGGAGAGAAAACATACAACAGCAAAAGGAAAAGTACTTTCAGGATCTTTCTTAAGGAAGAAAACTAATGAGTTTTCATAAACAACTTGGTGAAATATGAGTAAAGCAACAAAATAGTGGAAGCTGTTTTGTTGTTGTTCATGACAGCATCTGACAGAAATAAAATGCACAGTACCTGAGTCTTCATCTTAAGATTGTTTAGGTTGGATACCTCACAAAATTAAAGCTGTTTTTATTTTTTATTGTTCAAAATATTTCAGATGCCCCATTTTTCCCCCATTGACCCCTTTCACCCTAAAGCTGTTATCAAAAGACACTCCAGACAGCCTTTGCAAGAGAGCTAAGGTGTCAAGAGTCATTAACATGAATTACATCTTAAGTATTAACGCCCCAACCATATTGCTGATAACTGACAAATTAGGGCAAAAATCTGTGCTATGCACAGCAATAGGTAAGCCAACTCTACGACATGTACAAGTTTTTCTGACAAACTTGGGTATGGAAGAGGAGACAGAGATAAGAAGCGGGGAGAACAAGCAGCTTGAGGTGGGAGGAGGGTCAGGAAGAATAGCTAAGGGAGTCTAACAGTCATTACAAAGCTCAAAGGGACTCAGATTCTGGAGGGCAAGTCACAGGGTGAGCAAGAGGGTCTATACTGTGGTCAGAGAAGGTCAGTAGAGAGGACTTTAGAAGGAGGCTAGAAAATGGGGTAGGGAAGAGAAATGGGTGATCAAAGAGAGGTCAGTTGGGGCCAGAAGTTGAGACTAGCATCTGATTTCTGGTTATAACTTGAGCTCTGTAAACATGCTGAAAATCCCTGAGCTATAAGAGAGCAGTGTGTAACCAGGTAAAATTTAATTGGAGATAATTCAATTAATAATTGTGATTGTGGTCAGGGAAGAAAACTCTGGGTAGTAATACAGAACCAAGGTAAGAGGGGGGAAATGCTAATAGTTAAAATGAATTATGTTCACATTGGACAGTAGAGAAGCTGCATGTTGAAGAAGAAATAGCAAAGACGTCTGAAAACAAGAAGTCTCATTTTGACACTCTACTTGCTGTATGGCCTGAGAAAAAGTACTAAGATTTTTGTGGGGGGGACTGTGCTATTACTCTATCATTTTTTAGGAAGAGAGCAATGACAATAATTGTAAGTGCTTCAAAGAAGTGTGAGGGCTACTTAGGTAATGTGCATTAAAAGCTTTTGCAAAATTGATCTTTTAAATTAAATAGATTGAGGTAAGAACAAAAAATTTAAACATCTTGTGCAGAAAATGCAAATAGTTAGAATAATTCCTATCATTTAGAAAATTCCTATTGTGTGTTAGGCACAAGCTAGATGCTTTGAAAACATTCTCATTTAATATTCAAAATCACGCTGAAACTTGAGTTTTATTATCCCAGTTACATAGCTGAGACTTGGAGAGGTTTTATAAATTGCCCAAGATCTTTCCTTTAAAAGATCTCATCACTGGTGAACTAAGTAACTAAGTAATACTTTGTGCCAGTTCCCTCTACTATAACTTATAAAACTCTAACTCCCAGGAACAATAGAAAAGTAACTTGAATGGGCAATATTGTTGAATTTCACAAATTAAAAGCATTTTCTACGGTATTACAAAAATTCTGAATGGTGAAATGGAACAGCCTTGACTGGAGTTAGAGGCGACAAGTAGACTTTAAATTGAATCTGTCCCAGTACTCCAGTGCCATAACTTTGGAAATGTTTCAAGGAAAAAAATTAAAATTCCTTTTCATGAGGAGATCTTACTTTACAAGTAAAAAATGCACTCACTGATTAGGAAACTGAGTCAATTTCTATTGCTTTTTGGTGGTCTTTTAAAAATAAATAAATAAAATATCTTGTTTACTTACCCAAAGGAGTCGTGTCCAGCTCATTGGAATATCACTGTCGCAAAACACAATCCAGGTCCCTTAATCCTGCTTCTTTTGATCTCAAAAGGTGGTAACATTCAGTCCAGAGCTCACTCATCTGTAAATTGCATCACATTATCTCTGAGTTATTTAAGAAGCAAGCTCCGTTTGGTTTCTGGCATTTTAACCTGTTAAAGGCAAGAAGAGGGTTTACCACATTGTTCCAAAGGTCTTCCACTTACCACAGCCTTCAGAGGAAGGAAAATGATCGAACACATTGGGAATCAGTATGTTGTGGCCAGGCCAGTATATTCTGCAAATGCCTTTGGGGAAGAACATAAGAAGAAACAGAGACATCATAAGACCTTTCTGGATCATCTCAAAGTATGTTGTAGGTAAGATATTTTTTAAAGATACTGGAAGTAAAAAGAAATGAAACACTTCCTCCTAAATTTTCAAACTTTTATGCTCTCCTTTCTGGCTCTAGTCCATAGCTTTCAGAGCCTTCTTATCTTTGGTTTCCAAACTCCCCTGCCAGAGCTGGAAAGTTCGACTCTGAAATGAACACCATCTCAGCTCTCAACACAGTCTTCCCATATCAGAGGACTAATAGATGAGGACAGAGGAACATTCTCAATTGAAATGCTGAACAATTCAAGCTGAGGACGAGAAGCTCTATTACCGCTAAAGAAAAGCAGCATTTTTCTTTATAAAAATCCTTTGGTGGTAGCCAAGGGGCAGGTGATATGGGTAAGGAGGTGTCTGTGGGAAAGTTAGTGAAAGTACTAGTTTGTTCTTTAATATATTATAATCTTTACCAATTTTCCACCTACAATGAGGTACTAAACTTAAAATTTGATATCAACTGACCAATGGCTTTCAATGTTTTCAGCTGTTCTACACAAAAGGCCAAGAGAATTGCCCTCTCTTTGCTCCCCATAGCATCTTGGTTACCAGCATACCGGATAAAGGAATGGCTACTCAGTGACATTGTTTCTGGAATCAGCACAGGGCTGGTGTGTGTACTGCAAGGTAAATTATTTTGAGATGTAATTCATCTGTCATGCTTCTTGGTAAATTCACAAGGTCATGCAACAACCATATCACTTCCAGAATATTTTCACCACCACCACCACCCCCCAAATCCCTTGCTCATTAGCAATTACTTCCCATTTCCCCCTCCATCCATCCATCCCCTTTGCAACAACTTTCTGTCTATGGATTTACCTATTCTGGGCATTTCATATAAATAGATTCACAGAATATGTGGTCTTTTGTGTCTGGTTTCTTTCACTTAGCATAATGTTCTCAAGGTTCATCCTTGTTTCAGCATTATGGGCATTTTATTCCTTTTAATGGATGAATAATATTCTATTGTATGGATATAACCACATTTTGTTTCTGCATTCATGAGTTGATGGACATTTGGGTTTTTTTTGTTTCTACTTTGTGGCTATTAGAAGTGAACATTGTGTATAAGTTTTTGTAGGAACAATTCTCTTAAGAGTGTAATTGCTGTGTCATATGGTAACCCACTAGCAACATATGAGGGTTCAGATTTCTTCATATTCTTGTGAACACTGGTTATTGCCTGCCTTTTTTATTTTAACTGTCATAATGATTATAAAATGGTATCTCATTGTGGTTTTGATTTGTATTTCCTGAGTGACTAATGATGTTTAACATCTTTTCATGTGCTTACTGGCGATTTGTATATCTTTTGTGAGATGTCTATTTAAATCTTTTGCACATTTTGAAATTAGGTTGTTTTTTTATTGTTGAGTTGCAAGGGTTATTTATATATTCTGTACTAGGCCGTTATTCAAGATACGATTTGCAAATAATTTATCCCACTTTATGGGTTGTCATTTCATTTTCTTTATAGTATCCTTTGAAGCACACATTTAAAATTTTTGATGAAGCCCATTTTATCTGTTTTTAATTTGATTGCTTATGCTGTAGGTGTCATTTCTAAGAAACCATTGCTTAATCCCAGCTCACTAAGATTTACACCTATGTTTTATTCTGAGTTTCATAGTTTTAGCTCTTATATTTACAACTTTGATACAATTGAGTTAATAAAGTAACATATTTAGGGTCCAAATTTAAATTCTTAAAGAATCTAATGAGAACTTCTGTGATTCCCCTTGCATGAAATATAGACCTTGATGTTTGTGTATTTACAGGTTTAGCATATGCTCTGCTGGTCAACATCCCTCCAAGCTATGGGTTATATGCAGCCTTTTTCCCAATCATAATCTACTTTTTCTTGGGCACTTCTAGGCATATATCTGTGGGTAAGTGAATTTCTGGGCTAATTAATGCTCACACTGTCTTTCCTTTATGAATTCCATTAGACACGCACTGTATCAATTTCAAATTGTTCATAATCCAGGAAAAGAGTCATAGTTTCTTGTAAGAATTAGGACTAAAAGACAATCGTGCTTTAGGGAGACATTTATTGACCACAATTCACCCTCTGTTAATTAGGTCCATTTCCAGTTCTGAGTGTCATGGTGGGAGCAACAGTTATGAGACTGATCCCAACGGCCAACCCAGGTGCTATGGATTCTTCTAATAGTTCAATGAGTAATGATTCGTCATTAAATGATCATAAGGTGATGGTGGCTGCCACGGTCACAGTACTTTCTGGAATCATCCAGGTGTGCACTTTCTCATGTAATCTACCTTCCCCAATCTGCCTGTCCTGACTGGTATACATTTTTCTGATTTTCCTCCTTCTGGCCACCCCTCCCCACATTTCCATTTGATTTGTAGCCCTCCTTCCATAGCCCACAGGAAATCATTTAAAAAGGGTCACTCACCACCTGGTCTTTGTGGCTCAGGGGCTGAGCACTGACCTATGATCCAGGAGATCGGGGTTTAATTCCCAGTCAGGGCACATGCCTGGGTTTCGGGCTCCATCCCCAGTGGGGGGTGTGCAGGAGACAGTTGATTAATGACTCCCTCATCATTGATGTTTCTATCTCTCTCTCCTTCTTCCTTCCTCTCTCTGAAATCAATAAAGACATATTTAAAAAATAAATAAAAATGGGTCACTCACCACAGCCAGTAATGGAGAGGCAGATTCACATTGCAAAGATGAGTGGCTGTGGGTCTAGAGAGAAGGAAAAATGGGAACAGAAAGGCACATGTGGTAAGGAGTGAAATGCTGAATTCAGTAAAATACCTGGGAATCAATATAGTCACCAAACTTAATTATATGCAAGTAATAGTAAAACTGGAAGCTTTGGAACTTTTTTCTTTCTGATTTTTCAGGGACTGTAATCTAGTTGGAAGGGACTGGGGTTTTGGACTTTGAACTGTCCATATCAAAGATTTGGGGAAAACTGAAGAGGTGTATGGAGGGCCTAAAGCTTCTCTCCCAAGCCACACTCCTGCTGATAGTGAAAATGTCATGGGACTCTTCAAGACGTTGCTTAAGGTTATGAATAGTGATATTATCGATTAAGACCTTTCCTTAAAGAAAGAGTCAATTTATACAAAACATAACTGGTGTGTCCTGCTGACAAACAGCGTGGTCAGGTCTTTCTAAGACATTTCTGAACCTACTGCCTCTGGGTGTCCACAGCTCCGACTGCATTCCGGGGATGTGAATGGAAAGGCAGGCCAGGTATCCAAAGGAAGGAAAATACTGATGCTTTGGGGCAATTAACCATTTGTGCCCCCAGTTAAAACTGAGCACTTCAGATGTCCAGTACACAGTTATTTATTTCTTACAAAAGTCAAGCAACTTGTTTGAGGGAATATGAATGGATACTTAGCAGCTAGAAAGTATAACTTAAAATTCCTTAGGAAAATTGATGAGGGCTGATGCTAGATAAGATTCTGCTATGAAAGGTTTATAGGTGAGTCTTCTAAAGATACTTACACCTTTTTTAAAAAGTGGCGTAGGTAAGCCTGTTACTTTTTGGAGTGAGCTAGATTCGCTTGCTATTTGAACAGCATGTAACATTTCAGCTTGGGGAGTAGGGTGGGGAAGGGGAGGTGTTCCAGGAAGCAGGTACTCATGCTACTTTAAGATTTATAAGTACAGGCTGAACCTTTACATATTGATCATCTCAGTTGCTGATCCTTCAGGTTGCTGAGGTGTACTCCTAATCTACACTAACAAAGGCCTTTGCCCTTCTCTTTCCAGTTGCTTATGGGGGTTCTGCAGATTGGATTCATGGTGATATATCTGTCTGAATCCCTAATCAGTGGCTTCACCACAGCTGCTGCTCTTCACGTTTTGGTTTCCCAGCTCAAATTTATTCTTCAGCTGACTGTCCCATCACACACTGATCCTTTTTCACTTTTCAAAGTAAGTATTACTTTTGCTTAAAAAATATTTAAATACATGTAATTTACTATCATGTTTCTGGGAGAACTTCCCTTTAATGCATTTGCCGTGGGACTTGCCTACGATGTCCAAGAAACAAATGGGTTGTGTAATTTATTCACATTAAGAAAAAGTTAGTAACAAAGATAATAACATTAAAAATCAACCACATCTACTGTACAGCTAATGTGAACAGCAGAGATAAAGTACCACTTGTCTTATATTTGATTCTTAAGTATTATTTTTTTAAATCTACATACATTATTAAAAGCTTTAATATTTTGTCCCAAGTTTTTAAAAATTTCTCAAAATTTTATTTTGAAAGAAATGTCCTAATTGAGTGAAAATGCTTCCCTATTTCTAAAAAACAAGTCTCATTCTTTTAGAATTGAAGTTCTTCTTACTCTTTTATGCATCTCTGTTTATAAAGCAAAAGCAAATTGGCCAATGTGTAAATAGGACAGTGGTTCTTCCTCCTATAGAGGATGTACTGTAGAACAGACAGTGTTCTTTTTTTCCTTTCATCACCATTTATCCCCCATACCCTTTTCCACTTCTACCCCCTCCCCCACAATCACCACACTGTTGTTCCTTCTCTTATTCTCTTATTTTTTCTTTTTTGCTCAATCCCTCCATCATCCCCCCACGTCCACCCCCTCCCCCACCAACACAGCTCTCTGTCTGCTCTCTGAGTCTGTCTCTATTTTGCTTGTTAGTTCAGTTTGTTCATTACATTCCACATATGAGTGAAACCATATGGTATTTGTCTTTCACTGGCTTATTTCATTTAGCATAGTGTTCTACAGGTCCATCCATGCAGTCACAAAGGATAAAATTTTCTTTCTTTTTACAGCAGAGTAGTATTCCATTGTGTAAATGTGTGACAGCTTTTTTACCCACTTATCTATTGATGGGCACTTGGGCTGTTTGTTTCCAAATCTTGGCTATTGTAAATAATGCTGCAATGAGCATAGGGGTTCATATATTATTTTGAATTAGTGTTTTTGATTTTTTAGGATAAATTCCCAGAAGTGGAATTGCTGGGTCATAAGGTAGTTCCATTTTTAATTTTTTGAGGTAGCTCCATACTACTTTCCACAGTGGCTGCACCAATCTGCATTCCCACCAACAGTGCACAAGGTTTTCCCTTTCTCCACATCCCAGCCAACACCTGTTTGTTGATTTATTGATAAAAGCTATTCTATTCTGACAGCTGTGAGGTTATATCTAATTGTGATTTTAATTCGCATTTCTGTGATAATTAGTTATATTGAGCATCTTTTCATATGCCTATTGGCCTGTTTTGAGAAGTATCTATTCAGGTCTTTTGCTCATTTTTTAATTGGGTTGTTTGGGTTTTTTGGGGGCTGAGTTGTATAAGTTTTTTATAAATTTTGGATATTAACCCCTTATCAGATGTATTGGTAAATATGTTCTCCCATTCAGTGGATTGTCTTTTCACTTTGTTGATAGTTTCCTTTGCTGTGCAAAAACTTTTTAGTTTGATAGAGTCCCATTTATTTTTTCTTTTGTTTCCCTTGTCCAAGGAGACATATCAGAAAAAATATTGTTACAAGAAATGCCTGAGATTTTACTGCCTATGTTTTTTCTAGGATTTTTATGGTTTTGAGTCTAACATTTAAGTCTTTAATCCATTTTGAGTTTATTCTTGTGTGTGGTGTAAGATCACCATCTAGTTTCATTTTTTTGCACGTATCTGTCCAATTTCCCAGCACTATTTATTGAATAGACTATCTTTAGTCCATTATGTTTTTGACTCATTTGTCAAATATTAGTTGACTATAAAGTCATGGGTTTATTTCCAGGCTCTCTATTCTATTCACATAGAGAACCTTAAAGATTCCACCAAATAACTGTTACAATTGATAAATGAATTCAGTAAAGTAGCAGGATACAAAATAAATATCCAGAAATCAGTTGCATTTTTATACACCAAGATTGAACTATCAGAAAGGGAAAATAAAAAATAAAAATAAAAATAAAAATCCCATTCACAATTGCTTCAAAAAGAATGAAGTAACTAGAACTAAATTTAACCAAGGATGTAAAAGACCTGTACTAGGAAAACTACAAGACAATGAAAAAAAATTGAAAAAAATACAAATAAGTGGAAGTGTATATCATGTTCATGGATTGAAAGAATTAACAAAATTAAAATGCCAAACTACCCAAAGCAACCTACAGATTCAGTGCAATTCTTATCAAGATACCAATGGCATATTTCACAGAGCTAGAACAAATATTCCAAAAATTTATATAGAACCACAAAAGACCCTGAATAGCAGCAGTGATCTTGAGAAAGAAGAACAAAGTTGAAGGAATGATCCTATCTGATATCAAACTATATTACAAGGCCATACTAATAAAAACAGCATTGTACTGCCCTGACCAGTGTGGCTCAGTAGTTAGAGTGTCAGCCCATGCACTGAAGGGTCTCAGATTCGATTCTTGGTCAAGGACATCTACCTGGGTTGCAGATTCCATCTCCAGCCCCAGTTGGGGTGCATGCAGGAAGCAATCAATCGATGTGTCTCTCTCACATCCGTGTTTCTCTCTCTCTCTCTCTCTCCCTCCCTCGCTTCCACTCTATCTAAAATCAATGAAAAAATATCCTTGGGTGAGGATTAAAAAAAACATAGCATGGTGCTGGCATAAAAACAGGCATACAGACAGTGTTCTTATCTTCATCTTTTTAAAAAAAAACAGTTCTTGCCTGGCTGGGTGTGGTTCAGCTGTTGAGCATTGACCTAGGATCCAGGAGATCGTGGTTTGATTCCTGGTCAGGGCACATATCCGGGTTGCAGGCTTCATCCCCAGTCAGGGGTGTGCAGGAGGCAGCCAGTCAATGACTCTCATCATTGATGTTTCCCTCTCTCTCCCTTCCTCTCTCTGAAATCAATAAAGATATATATATAAAATAAAATAAAAATTCTTAGTTTCATTAATCTCTTCTATTGTCTTTTTACTCTCTACTTCTTTGATTCATCTCTGATCTTTGTTATTTCCTTCCTTTTGCTAACTTTGGGCTTATTGGTGCTTCTATCAAGACAGTCTTTGGGAGTCTGAGACAGAACTTGCTCCAGATTGGAATGAACACTCTCTCACTTCCATCCAGAACTGTTCCAAAAGTGGATTGTTCTAGGAGCAATTTGAGGTCTAGTTTGGGTCTGCTTGAGCTTTCCGAATCCCATGAATATTGAGTCCAACTGGCTTCGAGAATTAAAATTGCACAGTGCATTTAGCCAGAAAACTCATTTCTAAAAGTGACACAGAGAGTAAACTAAGAAATGTGAGGGTTCTTAACCTGAAAAAGCCCAGGAATTAAGGAGTAAATGCCTAATGCCTAAGAAAACGTATCAGGGGTCAGAGGTTATCCCCTGGACAGAGCAAGAGTGATGATTGTGAAATAAAGAACAGGGTCAAAGAGACCTAAAAGCAGAAGAGGCCAGTTTTAAACATGTGAAAAGTGTCCAAGATTGCCAGCAAAAATGTCAGAAGCATCCGTAACTCAGTGTGGTGCTGATGCTATGCTGCCCTTCTGGTGAGCAGAACAGAGAATCGCTATCAATCTATGTCAGTTCTTTTGCTTCAGTGTTTATTTTTATCTACTTGGAAATAACTGAGTGTTTAATCAAATTATGCATTAATATAGCACTTGGGTGTTCTTTGTTTTTATTTTAGGTACTAAATTCCATCTTCACACAAATAGAGAAGACTAATATTGCAGACCTTGTGACGTCCTTGATTATCCTCCTCATTTTATTTGTGGTTAAAGAAATAAATCAGTGCTACAAAGCCAAACTTCCAGTGCCCATCCCAATTGAGCTCATCATGGTAACTGATCATCTTAAGACTTTCTTTCATAATTCATGACTCTCACATTTGTATGTTGAAAGCCCTTCACCATCTGCAGATCAGGAAGTTTGAGTGGGGCAGATGCCATCTCTGCAGTTTCTGGGTCGAATATTTAGTAGTTTTATCTTTATTCAGAATTAAGAATTTTCTTTTATGATTTTGGGTTTATTCTGTCCATTTAAGACAAGGCTGATTAGGGGGCAAATCTCTGAGAAGTTGATAGATCCATTTGACTTAATGTCTCAACTCTGGTGGAAATATTAGATGTGCCTCAGGACTTTTTAAAAAGTAGCAAAGCCTGGGCTTGAGATTCTTATCTAATAGGTCAAGGGGTGGTTTCGGGAAATGGTATTTTTTATAAAGCAAGACTCTTAGGTATATCTCACATTTCTAACTTGGGCAATTTGCAACTTTGCAGACTGTGATAGCAACAGGTGTATCCTACGGCTTTGACTTCAAAAACAGGTTTAATGTGGCTGTGGTTGGGAAGATGCAAAGTGGGTAAGTGTGTCTTTTATGACAGCATCTCCAAGCACTAACTGGAGAGTAAGCAGGAGCTAGTAAAGACAACCGGCTGAAATGCATTAATCCAGGTCAGAAGCCTCTCTGCATCTGGCATTTATGAGGAAGGCTTGCTACTCCCTTTCTAGGAAGGAGCCACAAAGAACATGAGGGTCTGCAGTTATGAATATCAGAAAGTTTCTCCTTGTGGAAGGACTCCCAAACCAGATGATCAGGGACTCAAACACAAGTAAAAATGAAATAGTAAAAGTAGAAAAATATGCAATTGTACCTGCTTCTCCTAATTTAAAAAAAGGAAGAAAAGAAAACCAAATGAAACCAGATTTCCTTGTCCATAAATTACTACAAACAATATGTAGTGTTTTGTTTGTGGTTACTGGAGCCAAGATCCGACAGTTCAAAAGAGACACTGAAGGAATACCTGGCACACTGCTTGAGCAATCCGGTTAGGTACACTCTGTCCCTTCTCGTGATCAAATTCAAAACAAGGCCAGAGCAACTCTTACCACTGCTAAAGGATGGCAGGTCCAGCTCATACGAGGAATTTGAAAATGTATTTCATTGCATTTATTGGATTGAGAAGGAAGATCCAGATTTGTGCTCTCTTTCCTCTCGCTGCCCTCTGACCAGAACAGCAATTTCTTCCAACTTGCTTGCAATGATAGCTTGTGTTCCTGTTTAAAAAAAAAAAAAAAAAAAGACTTACCTCCATTCCCATGCTTAAGGTGTACTTGAGAAGTCGAGGAATCCGCATTTATGTGCATTGTTAACTTAAAAATAGCCAACTTATTTTAAAAGCAAATATATATATTTAAACAAAAACATACTTTTACCATCAGATATTCATGTGTAACACTTAGTGAATCTCAAACATCACTTGTAATTTAACATATTTTTAAGTAAGAATTGGAATGAAGCTGAAAGACAATTTCTAGGGTTTCTCTCCACTCTGCAGTTTTCAAGTAATTAAACTTTAGTAAATTAAAGGCGATCTTGTCAGAAGCGTTTTGGAAATAAAAGATAAACTTTACATCACTGAGTTACAATCTTAGAGACTTTATTTTGTTACTATATTTTAAATGTCAATGGACATTTCTCCACAGTGTGGGGGTGGGAGGAATTCACATTTATTAATCGTTACATTCTACAGAGAGGCAATGTAGCCTGGTGGGCAAGTTCACATGCTCTAGAGGCAGAGTGCTTGGAATTTACCTCTGACTCCCTTCCTGTGACCTTGGGTTCAGGGAGTTAGGTAAATAACAGAGCCAAGAAATGAACTTAAGTTTTCAGGCCACACTGTCTATGGTGTTTAGAGGCTAGAACAAAAGAGTAATAGCTGACTTCTGGTTATTTTGATATAAAATACAAATTTTAATTGTATCACCAATTTTATATTTATTTAATAAATAAGCAATATTCCAAGCTAACTTTCTGATTTATGGTAGCTGCAGAATATGAGATAAAAGTACTTCTTCAAATTAGAGCTGAAAATTTTTTAACATAGATATTCACAAAACATGAAGAAAGAGTTGAGTGGAGCCTAACTCACTGCCAATAAGTTTTAGATGCTTTTAGGAGCTGGGCATTTGAATAAGTTGCTGTTGAGTTTGAGATATTCGTAGTGTTTATAATACAATTAGTATCTGTCATTTCACTGCTCTAAACTCATGAGGCATAAGTGCAAAAGTGTCCTCTGTGAGTTGAACTTTCCCCTGACACAACATCACTTTAAATGGAAACCCTCTCTCCATCAGGGCCACAGTTGGCTCTAGCAGTTCTGTGAAGCATGGGACAGAGTCCAAGGCCCACCTGTTTGCTAAGGGTTTTCCATGAAAGGTTATGCTAGCAACAGAGAGAAGACTTTCTTGCTTGCCTTACCTCAGAACTGTTTCCTCAAAAGCGTTTGTCCATGGATAACTAGTGGAAAGCATTGTGAGCTATGCTTTGCCACCCTTTGTAAAATACAAGTGAGACCTAAGGTATTTTGCATGAAGCTGATGGGGTATAATTATCCATTACAATATGGGTATACTAGCAAAATCATATCAGATGTGCCACTGTCATTGGACTGTATTTACAATCTTGCATCAAATTCAAGCAGCATTGCTTTTCAACAATGATATAATAGATTCCAAAGTTTGCAGTGGCACTAAACTCTTGCTAGTTATGCTCCAAAGTGAGACACCATTCATCCTAATAAATCAATGCATTTTTTTCATTGATTTGCCCCAAAATTATGGACCATGTGATATATGCTATGAAGAGTGTTCAGTTCTGGTCACAGAATAGTGAACAAGTCATGGTCTCTGCTCAGAGAGCTGGTTGGCACTGTGGGGGGGGGTGGGGAGGTATCAAGAGCTAGGGAAACACAGAGACTCTCTCCTAACACTTGGTGGTGAGGGAAGACTTTCTAGAAGGAAGAATGAGGGTGAGGGAAATGGTGCAGGCACAGGGAACAGCAAGTTAGAAGCTTCCGAGGTGAGAGAATGGGTAACGCCTTTGAGAAACAAACAAACAAACAAGCTGGGTATGGCTGGAGCATAAATTCTGGGCAATGGTAGTGGTTAAGCAGGAATGGAGGGGGTAGACCAGAGCTTTGCTAAGGAATTCGGACTTTTTCTGAGAGCAAATGGATGCCACTGAAGGTTTATAAGCAGATTTATGACATTCAGTCTTGTTTACTTCAATTTTAGATTTCAGCCACCTATCACACCTGACTTGGAAATTATCGAAGGAACCATTGGAGACAGCTTCAGCATTGCAATCGTCGGCTTCATGGTGGCCTTTTCGGTTGCCAGTGTTTATTCCCTTAAACATGATTATCCTATCGATGGCAATCAGGTAAGTTTACCACCTATGCTGGGTCTAATTCAGCAACTTTAAACAATGTTCCGTGTACACAATATCAATGGTGCTGCTCCTAAGAAAGATTCCTCCTTGTTCTCTTGTCAGGAGTTAATAGCATTGGGACTGGGTAACATATTCACAGGAACATTCAAAGGATTTGCCTCAAGTACTGCCCTCTCCAGATCTGCGATTCAGGAAAGTACTGGAGGCAAAACACAGGTATTTCATTATCTTTGCTGTGAAGGCCATCATAGCTTAGTCCCTGGGGAGTGCAAGACCCGGGAAATGTTGATTCTGTGTTGAGAATGTTTTCATCTAAACAGGTTGCTGGGATTCTCTCTGCTGTCATCGTGCTGGTTGTCATTGAAGCCATGGGATATCTTCTGGAGCCACTACAAAAGGTAACATCCCTCCCCCTTTGGATGCTATCTCTCTCCTTTGGGTGTTGAATCAAGCACCCTGATTCCTAAACTCTAGAAATATAAGCCAAACAGGAAAATGAGGTCAACTGCAAACTCTCAAGTACTCTTTTCAGCCAGTACTCTATGGGCCAAAAATATTTATTTTTCCCCAGTAGCATTTTATGAATGTTAGGAATGCACATGCCCATAAGACCTTATCTACTCTACTCTTCCCATGTTCGTAGTCCAGAATATAATTAATGTTTAGACAGAAAGACACGCTGGCACTGCAGCTTCAATATGAATTGACTGAAGTGGAGGTTTTCTTAAAGGTTGAGGTAATCAGGGCGTCCTCTAAGTCAGAGAATGGTGCTACCAGTCATATAACCTGTTCTTAGGAATCCGCCCTGTAGCTCCCAGAGTTTGGTTTGACTCCAAGAGCAAAGCTGTCAGATTGCAGGATGGGAGCAAATAGCCAAACAGACTTGCTGTGTCCTCACACTCCTCTGTCTGGTTTTCCTGAACTGTAATTTTTGAGGCTTTTGGTGAATGCTTTGTAAACTGCTGCAGCTCCCAGATGGAAAACATGACAGAGACTCTGGAAAGCATAGGCTCTCTAGGAAACAAGACAATGGTAAATGCACTGTTCTTTGTGGTGTTTATATGATTGTGAGGGAGTGTATGGAGCACTGACTCTAGAGTCCTGTAGACCTGCTTCTAATCCTGGCTCAACCACTATTATCTGTGTGCTTTGGGGCAAATTATTTAACTTCTCTCAACCTGAAGTTCCCCATTTGTAAAATAGGGAGGGAAATAGCACCCACCTCACAGAGTTGCTGCAAAAATTAAATACATAGGTGAAGTACTTAGCTCATGTTATGGCACATGATAAACACTTAATAAGTTATTGCTAATATTATTATTATTATTCTGTGAACATTCTATTACACTTCCAACTACAAAGGGCATAGAGATATGACATGCCGGACAATGTTTATTGGTTGATAGCTAGATCTTTTCCCTTATTGGTTGGTAGCAGGAATGTGAACTTGGTCCTGAGTTTCTGGATTCCCAGTGCAGTCACCCCAAAGAGTGTCTCTGGCCCAATCTGTCTGCAAGCAGTGCAGAGTACTGTTTGCCAAAAGTATGCATTTTCTATACACTAACCTCCTGACTTCCAAAGGAATGGAATAGAAGGAGTCAAGAATCACCCCAAAAGAAATAGAAGAATGTATATGTCAATAAAAATAAGCCCTGGCCAGGGCATCTCAGTGGTTAGAGCTTTGGCCGGTGCACCAAGGGGTCTCAAGTTCAATTTCCAGTCAAGGATATGTACCTGGGTTGCAGGTTCGATCCTGGCCTGGTCAGGGCACATGTGGGAGGCAACCAATCCATGTGTCTCTCTCACATCCATCTTTCTCCCTTTCTCTCTTTCTTCCTCTCTTTCCCCCTCCCTCCCTTCCACTCTCTTTAAAAAGCAATGGAAAAAATATCCTTATGTGAGGATTAACAAAAATAAATGCGTAAATAAATGCACACACAGCCCCCCTACGTAGAGAATTCTGCCCTATTGTGCTTCTTCCCAGTGTATGTGTGTGCTCTCTCTCACCCACAGCAACTTGGAGAACTAAAGAAACAATTGCCATATAAAATCCTCACTCTCCTGTGAACAAACAATACCCATGGACATTGTCCAGGATGTTAATCAAAACCCTTCTATAACAGGTTCTTCTTAGACCATTGTGTCTGTAATGTCCTTATTTCACCTGAGTAGCTGCTTTGCTTCTTTTTATCACAGGTGGACAAAAAGCCCATAATGACAGCTAATAGACTGTTTCTTGGGCGCTTACTAAGCCTCAGCAGAGTTTTACGCATTTTCCATGTATTTAATTATTTTTATCAATTGCAGTGTGGATACCAGGTAAATTTCTCCCTTTGGCTTTTCAATGCTCTGCTGCCTTCATTCTTTAAGAGCGCTATTGTGTATGTACGTCATTTTAAATTTTTCAAATTGTTTTTTCATGGACTACTGACCAGGTGAGAATAATGCCTAATGAAAAGAAAACTATGTCTCTTCTGCAGATGGCACTAGATATTCTTAATATTAAAATTTCCCCAAAGCAGGAGGTTTATTGCAGAGAGTCTTATGGAACCCTCCTCCAGCTACCATGGTGATGACATCTTATATAGCTATAGTACAATATCAAAACCAGTACATTGACATTTATAGAGTACTGTTAACTAGATTACAGACTTTTTGCAGTTTTCACTATTTCTAACTGGTATTTGTGTACAATTTCTTTTTTAACATTACTTAAGACCATATTTAGTCTTCTAAACAATGAGCTATACTCTCAGAGAGTAAAAATAACTGGTTAGATATTAAATTATAAATGTTACTTGTGAAAATAAAAAATGTCCAGATCAGTTAAATAATCTTTGAGGTATGAAAATAAAAACTTGTTCAGTTTTTCTTTGTACACTGTGGTTTTATGGTATGAAAGTAATCAGCATACAAATTACATAGTCCATTCAGAATGGGGAACAGCTTGAACTGGGGGGGAGGGAAGGGTGTGTATCCACCACTGTGTTAAAATCTAAATAAGAAAGGGATCATAGCTGGCTAGTGAGCATTTTCACCTTAACTACCATCATTCCTGTAAGACAAGTGATCTCATTTGGGCATGTGAAGAATCAGGAGCCTGAAGTGCTACTGTGGCAGAGCTGAGTTTTCTACCGAGAAACTTAGTGAATCTACTATTCAGTGGTATCAAAATCGGGGCTTTTTAAAAGAGGTCGTGTTNATCATTCCTGTAAGACAAGTGATCTCATTTGGGCATGTGAAGAATCAGGATCCTGAAGTGCTACTGTGGCAGAGCTGAGTTTTCTACCAAGAAACTTAGTGAATCTACTATTCAGTGGTATCAAAATCAGGGCTTTTTAAAAGAGGTCGTGTTGCCCAGCCGGGCGTGGCTCAGCGGTTGAGCGTTGACCTGGGATCCAGGCGATCGGGGTTCGGATTCCTGGTCAGGGCACATGCCCGGGCTGCAGGCTCGATCAATGACTCTCTCATCATTGATGTTTCTGTCTCTCTCTCTCCCTCTCCCTTCCTCTCTCTGAGGTCAAAAAAGATATATTTTAAAAAAATAAAAAATAAAAGAGGTCGTGTTACTGGGTGGTTAGTACTGGCTTTGGAAATATTAATTCATTAGCTCATCTGCTTATTCATTGAATAATTGTTAAGCCCCTCCTGGGTATATTCAATATGGTCGGTTCTGGGGATATAACAGGGAACATGACAGATATGGTACACGCTGTCCTAGAGAGTCTACCTCAAATCTTTGCCACCCTCTGTGGTTTTCAGCTTCCTGTTTCAAAATGCCATGGGTGCTGAGTATCATCAGAGTTTTGAATTCTTATTCCAGGACCCCAAGCTCCCCAAACTTCTTTTTAAACAAAGAGCAACCCCCTCTCCCATCTTCAATAAAGAGGCACACATCAGACTATCTCTGACTGAGAAGAATTTATTTCCGTCATAAGTTGTAAGATCTGCCTTTCTCTGTCCCAAAGTACAGGCTAATAAGTGCTGTCAGGTCATTCATGGCATGTCACTGTCACCATGGTGGGGAAGGTCTGGTGTGTCTTGCATGGCATTGCACACCAGAAAAGGGCATACACTTTGCTTTGAGGCCCTTTAAAGGACTCACTTATCTACAGCCTTCACCTTTGCTTCTGTATGGCTTATTTAGTTATCTGAAAGTACATCTGCAGTTATGTTTTTCACAGTCTGTCCTGGCAGCTTTAGCACTTGGAAACTTAAAGGGAATGCTGATGCAGTTCACGGAAATACGAAGATTGTGGCGAAAGGATAAGTACGATTGTGTAAGTAGAGGCAACAATATTTGAGAGAAAAATCAGGATTGCATTTAATGCTTATGTAAAATGCATATTTATATTGTAAACTATGAGAAATTTTGTTTCTATATATCTATTTAAATGACCTTAATTTGTTTTATTTATTATCTTTAAACTGCATACTCTAATGATCATTCTCTGAGATTTTAATTTAAAAAGATGAGCTTCTTGCAAGTAGGAAATGCTCCAGAAAACACAAATAGACATCCTCCTTAGATCTGTTCTAAAAATCCTTGCAGTCATCCCTAATGCCACAGAAACTCTCTGAAGTTCAGGGTATGCATTGCTTCTGTTCATCATTACATCATATATTAGTTACCAGAGAATCTGTGAAAAACCTAAATTCTGAACATTCTTTTTGGAAATACTCTATAAAGGCTCCCCTTGCTCTCAACATACCTTGCTGTGAGAAGCAGAGTCCATAATTATATCAGGTTCAAAGTCTGTGGCGTAAAAATGCTTAACATATCCTACGGTACTTTACAAGCATTAAGTAATAAACTACACTTCGTTTACTTTTGTTCCTGCTAGATAATTGGTGGAGATTTTCACAGCCCTTTGGCATACTGAGATTCTTGTAGAGATCATTGCTATAAATGAAATTAGCAGATGAAAAGTAAGAGATTAGTATATTATATACCAACTAATTTGCTAATTTTAAGGAACAGCAGCTGGTTCTGGAGTTTTAGCTGTGACAGATAGGCTCAGCCATTTCCTTAACTGGTTCAAGGATGGGATTAGCAATGGATACACTCTCTTTGGATTTTTCAAATATCTGCTTGTGTTTCTGTGGTTCAGAACCTGAGCTGGCAGAAATGACCCCTGGAGGCAAGTACCATCTCCTGTACACTTCCAACCTCTGCTGTTGTCCCAAGAAGTTCACGCTTTCTCATACCAATGGGCCTAAGACATTGTACTTGAATCAGAGCCGATTGTAGTGTATGGTGTACATGTTGCCTTCCTTTTGCAGCTAATTTGGATCATGACCTTCATCTTTGTCACTGTCCTGGGACTTGCTTTAGGCCTGGCAGCTAGCGTGGCGTTTCAGCTCCTGACCATCGTGTTCAGGACCCAATTGTGAGTGTCGCACTCTGTATTCTTGCAGACTTTGGCCTACCAGTGTCAGAAGAAAAAAAACTTGTTCCTGGTTAAGGGGAAAGTAGTTTAGTTGATAGGCATGCAAATCTATCAAGATTGGCCAGTCTGTTCTTCCTCGGGTTGCTCACTCCAAAGGGGAATAAAATGTCCTGAACTTAGAGCATTAGCCCAGGTCACTCCAGCTGTTGGTCTGCTCCCTGTTTGCACCCAAAGAAATCATGTAAATCTCTTTGCCTTAGACTATTTAAACAGGGGAATGTGTTACTGAGAAGACTGTGAGATTCTCCATGTCTAGTGTCTTTATAGGTTGTTAGATTTTATTCCCACCTGAAAAACATGGAGCTGAACTAAGAGAATTTCTGAAAGGCACCTCTCATCCTAGAATTCCACAAAAACCACTTAGAATGCTTGATTCTTGTCATCCAGTCCAAACATCTTTTTGATTCTTAAATTTCTGACATATGTTACCACCACGTGGTCACTCAGCCTAAATTGGATTATGTTTGTGCCAGAGAAATAAGGCTTCTTAGGAATTAAGGAATTCTAGAACATAGTGTTGTCATAATTAAAATTAATTCTTATGTTGCAATGTTCCTGCATTCATTGACTCATTTATATTTGCATTCATTTCCTGGGGACTCATCAAACATAGAGACAAACTGAGTGGCCATAGGCAAGCCATCATACTTCTTTATGTCCGCATCTATACAACTGGGTAATCATATCTGCTTTCTTCACCAAATAACAGATATTCAGAATCCAAATGGCAAACACATAGAGAAGCTCTTTGTAAGCTGGAATATGGTAGATGGGCTGCACTGTCTTAGGAGCTGTGGAGAAATAAGGAAAACAAGGTGTTTGCCCTCCAGGGTCTCTAATTGCATAATGATTCTTCTATGTTTTGAAAATGAACCTGCCTTGGAATGTTAGCCTTATAGACCTCCCAAATGTGCATGAATGATTCACATGGTGTCGACTTTCCCTACAGTCCGAAATGCAGCACACTGGCTAATGTTGGAAGGAGCAACATCTACAAGAATAAAAAAGATTACTCTGATGTAAGGAAGATTCATTTTTTACTTTGATTTGCTAAATGATATTAATATGAGTCCACTGGGCACCATCTAATATGCTTCTCTGCCTTACAGATACATGAACTGGAAGGAGTGAAAATTTTCAGATGTCCATCTCCTATTTACTTTGCAAACATTAATTTCTTTAAGCAGAAACTTATTGATGCTGTAAGTTTAGGGGTTATTATTATTATTTTTTGTAATTCCACTGAATATGTAGAAATGAAATATCTGTTTTGTAACAAGAGAGGGCCATTGACTTCACATATGTTGAAGCTGGGTTGTGTTAGTGTTTCACCATGTCCCGGAGTAGGTGAAAAATTACCTTATAAAGGGTCCATTAGTACGTTGGAAAATAAGACTCTTTGGACAATGTCCGATATACAGGCATCTTTCATTAAATTCTACTGTAGAGTAAAAAGACTACCACAAGATTTGGGCTACTGGTTTTTAATAGATATTATCCTACAGATTTTCCTGAGGAATCAACTTCAAAAAGAGAGTACTATTTTAATATTTCGCTGCAACATTGAAGAAATTAGGAATAGCAAACAAATATTAATAATATAAATGAAATTAATAAATATAATATAAATGAATATTTAACATGAAATAACTGAGTGTCCCTGGTGGCCTGGAGAGAAGACGACAAAGAAGCAGTCTTAAGGTTAAGAAACAAAAGTACAGCACTTATATTTGAGCCTGCCTTTTGGTCTACTCTGTACCTTGCATAGAGTTTGTGCCTTAGCCCTATTATTATTAGATAGGTATGCATCAAATATTTTTCTACCCAGCTTTTTTACAATGATGGATCATATTGTGTATATGGCTTTATATATTGCCCTTATCACTTAATCTAGTATCTTTCTATCTAAGTACATTTTTTCCCCAAAGGTTTTTTTTTTTAATTATGTAATTTGATTCCCCTTAGCTATTACTGTAGGGCTATATANTTGTAACAAGAGAGGGCCATTGACTTCACATATGTTGAAGCTGGGTTGTGTTAGTGTTTCACCATGTCCCGGAGTAGGTGAAAAATTACCTTGCCACAATAAAACACATTTGTTTTGAAAAGGGGAAAATGAAGGTTATCCTCAGGTTATTATAAAATAATAAAATTATAAAAATAAATAAATTCTAAAATTATAAAATAAAAATCACATAATAATAGATGTTATAAAATATAATCATATAAATTTTAATAGAATAAAATTATATAGAAGAACAATACTAATTAGATGCCACTCATATTGTGGTTTTGTGTAGACCAAAAACACAAACAGATTCAAATCAGAATTTAGACCCATTCATGGATAATTTATGGATAAATCCTAGATGGTGCAGACGTTTTAAAATGCTAATAACTGCGTACAGGCTGAGTAGACCATAGGCCTGACACAACGCTCTCACTGATGTTTGAACCACTTACATTTTATTACAAATATATGTCTCAATTTCTCAATCTATCCCAGTTATATGAGTAGCAGAATATTCAGTACCCTTGTAACACAACAATGGGTTTCTCAGGTTGGCTTTAGTCCACTTCGAATTCTACGCAAGCGCAACAAAGCTGTGAAGAAAATCCGAAAACTGCAGAAGCAAGGACTGCTGCAGGTGACACCAGTAAGTTTCTTGATCACATTTCTGTGTATTACAGCTAAAAGCTTAGTAAAATGTGTAGCTCAGGATGTTGGTTCCATTTTTTTATATAAAATGCCAGATAAACAAGGTATTTCATTGTCAATTAATGTGTTATTTTTAAATAGTATCTTTGAGGATCTCCTTAAAATGTGATTCTCCTGGGAACTTTTCTATCCTCCAGAGAAAAGGGTTTACAATCTCATTTGCTCAACCTAACTTTGAATCTGTGCTTCAGAAAGCCACTGGCTATCTTTGACACACGGAATATATTTCTTGGTCGGAATTACCATGCATATTACTATGCTCTTTTGCAGAAAGGATTTTTATGCACTGTTGATGGCTTGAAAGATTCCGATGAAGAGCTCGACAACAATCAAATAGAAGAACTGAATCAGCCAGTCAATACCGCAGACCTGCCCTTCCAGATAGACTGGAACGCCAATCTTCCTCTCAACATTGCAGTTCCTAAAATTGAACTACATAGCCTTATCCTGGACTTTTCAGCAGTGTCATTTCTTGATGTTTCTTCAATGAGGGGTCTCAAAACGGTAATTTCTTTTTTTCTTAATGGAAATAACTAATCAGTGACTAAAGGTGAAAAATTGTATTTAGAAAACAGAATAATTTCATTTTGTTCAAACTTCTCTTTAAAAAATATCTTAACATCACATAATTCTGAAGACTGCTTGCTTTTTCTTTTCCTTTTTTTGCATGTTTGTTTATTTGTTTGTGCCAGCTTTGGAGGAAAAAATACACACGCACATAATATTGATTTTTTTTATCCTAGCAGGATAGCACAGAGGACAGGGACCCCACCTTATGTTTCATTAAAGTCCTAATGTTTAGCTCAGCATCTCATAGATCAACAGTATAAGCTACTTTTCTCACCTTATATGACCTTAATGATATCTCTACTGATAGTTGCTCTTAGCCTAGAGACTAAGAAATTGGATAAAGTTTTGTTGGTGCTAGACACATCTAGTCACTGTGGACAGGAACAATGAACAACTTATGAGTCCTAAGGTTTTCTTACGCTCATGTATATAGAAAGCTCTACCTGAGATCATCTCATAGAAAAAATTTTTAAATTAGGGAGTGATGTCAGCATCATGGCATATTAAAAAGACTTCTTTGTTTACTCCTAAATTTAAAATTAAATCAGAGTTTACTTTGCGAGAGTTAAGGAGAACATTTTCCTATCGTACTTCCCCAAAGAATGATCACTTTTAACTTCCTCCTTACGAGGACAGTTCTTTCCTTTGGATTTGTTTCTTTCTGTCACAGAGCCTTGTTTTAAACTTTAGTGTCTCTTTATACTATTATCTCTTTTCAAAATGTAATAGGTTCTGAAAGCAATATGTTGCCCATAAATCATAATTATGACGGTTTTATTTACATTTCTGACAAGTGAAACTGTTCCCCAAGGAAGATATACTTTCTTTTTAACAGATTTTGCAAGAATTTATCAGGATCAAGGTAGATGTTTATATTGTTGGAGCTGATGGTAAGTTGTTTTATTTTTATATCCTGACAATCACTTTAGGTTCATTGCCAACTCTCAATCTAGACAGCCCTTCCAAGAACAGTTATTTTTTTTTATGATTACCAAGAAGGAAATCTAATTTTTAGCTGAGCCTATAGAAATCCCTCTGGAACTAGCATCTTTATATTTTAGTTCTGTTGATATGAAATTAAATTGACTTTACAATTTGAATCCTAGTTTAATAGGCAGAAAAAAAAAAAAGTGAATATGTAACCACTTTTTACTCTCCTCTTCCTGAAAAAGTAGGCTTATTTCCTCTTTTCCTTGCCTCCCTTGATCCCTCAACCCATAATAACCTGGTTTCTGCTTCACCCTGCTGATGACATCATCAGTGATCCAGATGATCAGGATCAGCTGCCTCCATCTCAGCCTCATTCTCACGGAGCCTACTTCAGCATTTGGCCCTTTCTTTAGCATTTGTCTTTGAAACTCTTTCTCCATGGCTTCTGAAGACCATTCTTGGGATTCACCTCCCACCACTCTCATAGCTCCTCGGTGTCTGACATCGGCTCCTCTCCCATCCTTTGACAGCCAGTCTTTCCCAGGCTTCCCCCTTAAGTCATGTAGCTCTAACTCTATGAACTCTTTCTAGTCAATCTACACACTTACGACTGCCAGTGTGTCTAGTTAATGAATTCCCACACTACGCCTCCAGTCCAAACCTTTCTTCTGAGCTGCAGATCCACATATTCAATTGTCGGATGTCTTCCAGGCACCTCAGATACACGTTCAAAACTAAATATATTATCCTCCCTCCCAAACCACTCCTCCTTTCCTAACAGTCACTCCGCGGCCACTCACCAGCTGCCACAGTAAAAACCCTGGGGCCCTCTTTAATTTCTCCCTCTCCCCTTCCCTCAGCGAGTCCCTGCAGATAGCTCCTCTTGAGTCAGTCCTGCTCTCCACTCCACAACCTCAGTCCAGACCTTTATCATTTCTCATCCAGGCCCCAGGGAGGACGTTTCTAACTAGTGTCCTTGTCTCTAGAATGTTCTCCTGTCCCATTTTCTGACTAGAAAACTCCTTCAAGGGTGTATTCCTCAGCATCTGGAAGAGCATCCTTGCTCCTCCAGACAGAACACTGTGATCTTCAGACTTTGCGTCTGAGGAACACGCGTCAGGCTATTCTGCAGCCCGGTGCTTGTGTTCCTGCTGGGTTCCAGCCTCATCCTGGGTGCTGGGGAGACGGCTGTGAGTGAGACGAACCCCTGCCCTCATGGATCTCAGTCTAGTGGGAAAGTAAATGAACACATATTTCAGGTAATAAATGCAGTGAAGAAAAAAGCTGGTTAGGAGACAGAGTCCAGGGATGGCTGTGTTTTAGACAGGCCTTCAAACATGTCGAATAAGGTGACATCTGAGCAGAGACGAGTGAAGCGAGGTGAACCTTGGCAGTGTCAGGGGAAAGCACAGGTCCTGAAGGAGGCATGAAATTGGCATCTTTCATTTTCCCTCTCTACTGGCTCCTGTCCCTAAAATCTACAGACTTAGTCTGGTTTCAATGTCTCCTTATACTTAAAAATATTCTCTTGATCTCAGTAATCCTTTAATCTATTCAACAATTTTACTCTTCCTCCATCATCCCACATTGTTTTGAAAGTATCTCCCCCTCTCCGTTCTTAACAAAAATCTTCACCTTCCTTGCCAGTGCAGGCACCCACCTCCATCCTGGGCTCTGGCGACTGCGGTGGCCTCTCTCCCTCTCCCTCAGTCACCGCCAGGTCCTGTCAATGCTGAAAGCTTGCCTGTGGGCAGACTTCCCACCCCCATGCTTTCGTATCTCTCTTCCTCCATCTCTCTCCAAATTCTAGTCATTCTTTTAAATGGTATCTACTTGGTCAAGTTTTCCCAGGCACCCATCAAGAGGAAACAATCTTTACCCTACTTCCTATGAATTTCCATAGCACATTATCTGTGTCTCCCTTATTTATTCAACAAAAATATGAAGACCTTGCCCGGCCAGGTGTGGCTCAGGGGTTGAGCCTCGACTNGAAACAATCTTTACCCTACTTCCTATGAATTTCCATAGCACATTATCTGTATCTGCCTTATTCATTCAACAAAAATATGAAGACCTTGCCCGGCCAGGCGTGGCTCAGGGGTTGAGCCTCGATNGCACATGCCCGGGTTGTGGGCTCGATCAATGACTCTCTCATCATTGATGTTTCTATCTCTCTCTCTCTCCCTCTCCTTTCCTCTCTCTGAAATCAGTAAAGATATATTTAAAAAAAAAAAAAATGAAGACCTACTATGTCCTGGTCATTATTTTGAAAATGAAGAAAACAGCCAAGAAAAAAAATCAGATTGCTTCCTGCCTTTATTATTCTACAGTACTTTTCCTTCCACTACTATGGGTATACATAAATGTTCTTATATCCTTGAAGGCAAGATTCATCTGTAATTTACCTTCATGTTACCCAGCCAGAGCTTTGAGGTAATATTTGATTGAGTGATCTGTGCAAACAAGTGCTGGTTAGTGCCTGCAAGAATGGAATTCCTTACAGATGCCTGGAGAGGTGGTGTGGGGTGGTCAGAAAAGATGTTTTCTGATGGAACCCAGCAGCTTCTAGAAACTGGGCTACAGTAAGTAACTGGTAAATAATAGGTCTGGCCACCTCGAACTACAGCATGTCACTGGCCCAGGAGCATATGTTCTATTTGGGCAGAATCCCAATTTTAACAAATAAGCCATACTTGATGCGTCAATCATTTACTGTGGAGATTAACTCACTAGGCTCCTGCCTGAAGGAAAGTGGACTGATTTTCTTCTAAGAACTACTAAAAGTTTTTCTCATTTGAACCTTCTTCCTCAGTCTTCTTACCTTAGAGCATTAGATATATACTTTTATTAGAAAGGCATCCTTTAGTTCTAGAAGACACTGTACTAATGGCACCCTGGTATTGGACCATTGCAAACCCCAAACTCTTAACCAAACACTAGTGAAATGTACATTTGTAAATGAAAATGAAAATCCCCAGCCTCAAGGAGAGACCTATGGCCAAACAGTCTCGTCTTCCTTACTACTCTTCTTCCTTTTCCCTCTTCAGATGATTTTATTGAGAAGCTTATACGGTGTGAATTTTTTGATGATGAAGTCAAGGACTCAATATTTTTCTTAACAATCCATGATGCGGTTTTGCATATTTTGATGAAAAAGGATTACAGTACTTCAAAGTTTAATTTCAGTCAGGTACCTGCTTTTTGGTAACTTTCACATTTGTATAACAAATCATCTTTGCTTCTTAAATTTCCCTTTATTTTTCATTATTTAAAAATATTGTTCCTAATCCAGAATCTGGATTAGGAGTAAAATTTGCTTTTACCATAAATACAAATGGAGGATTACATAATTGGGAATGTAAGGTAAGATTGGTTCTTCAACAGGTTTATCTTTATCTAGACATCACAACAAAAACCCCATAAAATAGTGAGGCCTCTTCCACATGCTGCGGAAAGTCCAGCACTTGTCTGAGCCTCTGTGCCTCATCCCTAGAAATTTGAAGTAATGTCTCTTTCATAGAGACTTTGGGGGAAATAACTTGGACCAGGACAAACAGGATGGGACATATTGATACTAGATCTGTATTAATGCAATATTGAGCATACAGAGAGAAAACTTGTTTTCAAAGTACTTGCAACCAACATCTTATTCTGGCCTTGTAATAATCTATGAGGTAGGGAAAGTATTGCTCTTTCCATTTATAGATGAATTAGTGATGGAGTTGTAAAGCTAATACACAACTCTCGACTCCCAGGTGCATGGTAAGTCCCTAGCACAGTTCCTAGCCCAGCATTGAAAGTTAAGCTCCTTCCTTCCTTACTAGAAAGAGTTGCCAAATCATCATTTAACTGGATAGTCAGTCTCATTTCATTCTAGAACATTCATTTTTAGAATATTCGGTCCTTTAAGGGAAAAGCAGACCCATCAAACGGGTATCTGCTGTAGGCCGGGTGCATGATAGGTGGATTACATTCATTATCTCAATCGTTACAACAACATGCAAGGAAGATATCTTCATTTCACAAATGAGGAAATTAGGAGGGTTTAAAGAACATAACCAATTTGAATAAGATCACATACCAAAGTGACAGCGACAGGATTTGATGCCAAGACCTGTGCTCTGTTCATTCTACTATGCTGGCTCTATCCTTTGGTGAAAGACTAAAGGAAGTGAGTGTCTGGAGAAAGAATCTAATGATTGTCTTCAAGTATGGGAGGTGGTTGGTGGTATTTCTCTTACTTGAAGAAAGGTGTAAGAAAAATAGCAAAAGGAATTTAGATTAGAAATAAAGAAGAAATGTTAAGTTATATTAAATAGAAAAAGATTAGGTGAAAAAACTATTCCAGAAAGTCAGATAGGCCTGAAGTGAGAGAGCCGAGAAATGCACCATGATTTGTTCCCAAGGGGGGATTTCAGAGAAACCCAAATCTAGCACCTTGCTTGACATCCCCCTCCCCCTCCCTATAAAGAACCTCACCAGCAATCCTCTGCCCAGTAGCTGGATTCAGAATCGTCACCAAGTTTTAGAGGCTAAAGTATAGGAACAGAATTTAAACCTGATACTTGATCAAAGCTTTAGAACCAACGGAATGTAGTCAGCACCATTTTATACCTATTTCTCTGTATTTAAAAAAAGAAACACAATGTCACTCCTTGCATTACTTAGAGAAAGATAAATCAGCAGTCAGGGGTAGGCTGCCAGTGGTGATTTATGTAAAAGCTGAGTGTGCTTGGTCAACAAATACACATGGCCCCTTGGAACTTGTGTGCCTCCTGAAACATGTGAAGAAATACATTGTTATAAGTTCTATTGTTACCTTAAGTTAAATTAGTCCTTCGAAAGATACTTATGATACAACCTGGTATCACATGGTTTTATGTTAACCAAGAAGCAATGAAAGGTACTTGATTATGAAAATTCAAGACAAAAAAATGTGTTGATGACTCTGGCAAATTCCAGCTCCTAATTTTAATCAGATTGACTACATTTTAAATATAAGATATGATTATTGAAAGGGATAGAATTTAACAAGTTTTTTCTAAAAACAAGAACTTTCTGTCTTCTAGGTACCGGTTGAAACTCAATTCTAATCAAAATATGATCCAGAGGGATACTCATCTGACTGCCACATACAGAACAACTTTATACCCAGAAAGTTATTGATAAATTCATACATTGTATGAAGAATATTTTTGACAGAATTATGTTTCAAACTTTGGAACAAGATTGTTCTAGCTTGGTATATTTTTTGCATATGTAGTATAAAATTATGTAAATACTCTTAATTTTATAGCTTGTAGATTTATCAAAGGAAGAAAATTTTTTGTTTATATGTATTTTTGTAGCGCTGACAGATTTCTATTCAAGTCACTACTTTCATGCATGTTTCATCACACCACTGCCTTGAATCTTGTAATTTATACTGCTCATACAATGTAATTAATACAGCTCCACTTTTTAAAAAATCAGTTTGTACAGTAGATGTGTCTTGTTTTGTTAATTTTCTTGTTTGCTTTCTGAAATATGTTTGCTGTGAGTCCCCTTTATAGTGGTCTGGCTGGAAGCTTGCTACATGAGAATCTTCTAAACCTCCTGCAATGAAACTTCTTTATCTAGCTTTTATGATTTTTCACTATACCTTTTTAAAGCATCCAGCCTCCTATCCAGATTTAGACACAATCTTTCCATAACTAGCTTTTGAAGCAAATCTTTATTTTTCCCCCACTTCTTAATTCTGTAAGCTAAAAAGTGAAAAAGCAAGGTAAAAAGTAAAAAGAAAACTTGCTGGGTAGCCACTTCTTCCTGGTCTTCCTGGGAGGAAAGAAGGTAGCAGAAGAGTCTTACTCTTCACTGCTGGTCCTTATTTGTAACTCACAAGGCCGGATCACAGCTCTAACGCTCAGTTTAGCTCCTGAATGATTCAGCACACATACTTCTCTGTCACTGGCACTGCTCTTGGTGCAAACAATATTTATGTAATAGTTAAGAGAGTAAACATCAGCACCAACAGAAAGATGATTCAGTGCCCTCTGTTCAACATCAAACCACTTTGTCAATGGGAGATATTGTCCCAGTTGTTTTAGATCTCACCTTTAAATGTTTATTCTCAAGCTACCCCCTTCCATCCTTTATTAGTGTCTTTACTGAGTAGGCTTGTCTATTGGACTTTAAAACCAATTACATAAAGGTAAAACAAAGGTTTATTTATATAGCTACTCTTAATTAAAACTAGAATATCAACACTTTTTATGTTCCTTAAATTTTTTGAGTCATGGGCCTCTTATAGAGCCTCATGTATACCCTATGGGCTTTAGGAAAAAAGAAACACATACACATATACATTTATACACGATGCCCTATGAACCTCAGGCTGAGTTATTCCTTTATAGAAGGCATGAATAGAAATAAAAACACGAGCCTTATTTAATTGATTTTTTGGCTTGGGAGCGGGGCAAAAGCCTTATATAGGATTGTCACTGATGCCTGTATCTTCCCAAGCAAAGGTGTCCTCTATACTCTTATTACGAAATAAAATATCATAGAGTAGGAACAAGCACTCCAATTATCACGCTCCCATCACAGTCCACGCAACCTTAACCTCTTAGAGGTTCACTTATACTTATCCTTAAATGTTTTTTCTCCAAGACCTCTAAGATGGATATGCATTGGGTGATGGGAATACATGGGACTGGGCCTCTACTTCCCTGGCTCGGAGCAAATATTGGAAATTGACTAGTACAAAAATCTCACCCCGGATTTAGGAAGAGGGCAAGAGATCATGTTGGAAGATAAAAATAAAACTTACATAAACCAGAGCAAGATGGAAAGGGAGAGGAGATCCAGTGATGCAACTAGGAGACAGAACAACTTGTGAAGAGACAGATACATTACTGAAATTAAGTTTGAAGCGAATACATGTTGAGCAATTTATCTTTAAAATCATTTTCTCTATTTTAACTGCAAATTTATGTGCATTTTAAGCATATTTGCTGAACATATAAAAAAATAATGAATTAAAGTGGAAAATAACACTTTAAAAATAATATTTTCTAATAATTATTTAAGCATTTGATATCTTGTTTAAACACTGTAACTAACTTCCCTCTTAGAGATGTAAATGAAGTTTTAAATGTAAGCTTGACTTTACACTGCATAAACAAGGATGGAGAAGTAGAATATTTAATTCATTTTTCTGCCATCTTCATCTGAACATCTACATGTCAAAAGTGATCTTCTCCCCTAATCTGCTCTACCAGTATCTTTTCCACCCCAGTCAATGCCAACTCCATCCTTCCAGATGCTCAGGCTAAATAATCCGTCAGGAAATTCTACTGACACTACCTTTAAAGTAGATCTAAGATCAATTCACTTGATTGTCAAAATAGGCCCTGTGAGATGGGTACTATGTTTATCCTCATTTTTTAGAAAAGGCAAAATAAATCAAGCCTCAAAGAGGATAAGTAAATAGTGAAGTTACATAGTAGCAGGTATTAGAGTGAGAATTCAGTCTAGACAGTCTGACTCCAGAGCCCAGGCTCTTAACCATTAGGAAACATTATCCCCCAAAAGAAATTACAACGTGTCTAAAATCTAGTGCAAGGCAGGACTAAACTCAGGAACAATGTAAGTGCATTCTAAAGATTTGTTCCAAAGCTATTAGGAAATATACTATTAATGCCCAGAATTAAATAAACGCATTTTCTTGTTATTATAGGTGTGTGTATTTTGGTAATACATTTTTAAAAACATTTTTTCCCTGTCTACTATACTTTGAAAAAGAATATAAGAAAAATTTTAAGGAAATTTAGGGATGACTACGACAAACAATTCCTGGATAAGTTAGAATGTAAGCTCCTAAAGAGCAGGAACCATATTTATTTTGTTCATCATTATATATCCGTGTCTAGCATATAGTGCTTAATTTATATATATTTATATATAAATTATATATATATTTATATATTTCCTATATAATGTGTGTATGTATACATACACATCTTTCCACAAGTCACCTACTTCTTGATACTTAGAATACTAGTCTTGTGTGAATTATTAAAGCAACCTTCTGACTGGTCTTTGTCTCCTTTATCTTTTCTCAACACAAAGACAAAATAATCCTTTTAAAAGAGCCAGATATTTCACTTCTTCGCTCAGAACCCCACAATGCCTTCCCATGTCAGAGGAAGGTCTGTCTTATGGCGGCTAGAAAGCCTGTGATTTCCCCATTCTATTATTACCTCCTGACCTCCTACCACTTGTCTCACTCATCTCACTCCAGTCTCCCTACTATTCCTCAAATATGCCAGGTGCAACCCCCCTTTTAAGGCCCTTACATTGGGTGTCCTCTGGAAAGTTCTGCCCCATGTTATATACATGACTGTCACCTACTTATATCTTTGCCCAAATTTTTCAATGAGTTCCACCCAAACCATTCTAATACATAAAGTTGCAAACCTACCACCACCCGATTATCCCTTTTATTCCATAGGATTTTATACTTACATAATTTAATATTTGTTAATTGTCTGTCTCTAGAGATTTGTGCATCCCAAGTGTAGAATGGTATCTAGCATATAAATACCTGAATGATGAATAAATCTTTATATCACAGACAGTAGGTGCTCAGTATATATTTATTGAGTATAGATCATGAAATACTACATTTATCATGGATTAGGATGCGTAACCAGAGCATGGAGTCTATTTAGATGTCAGCTCTGTAATTAAAGTGATTAGATATACACACCAAAGTTATAACAGTACTACTTATCTCTGGAAGGGAAATGTTCATTGCATCAGTAGTCAAGGGAATCTTTAGCTTTATTTGTTATATTACATTTTCCCCCAAAGATGTATCACTTGTGTAATTGAAATGAGTACAAATTTTAAAACAAAAAATTAGAGGTTTTGAAAGTTAACACAGCAAGAAGAGAGAGCAGGATTTTTCATTCTGAAGGGAAAGGGATAACAATTTTTAGATTAATGATTGGTTTAAATGCAATATGAAACCTGGTGCCTACAACTACTTAGAATAGAAATGGGATATTCTGGGGTAATAGATTAATATTTGAAAATGCTAGATTTTTAAAAAGACACGGTACTGTCCAAGTGTGAGAGCTAAACCCATGACCTATCATTGTTCATTTCAATCCTGTGATTCTGTAATGCCTAAAAATTCTTGAAGATAGGAAGATGGGACAATGAAACTTTAACACTAAAATGTTCCCTTTAAGGATTCTACTTTAACACCTTTTCCCTCAATGATGGGAAGTTAAAGGGGCATGAATCAAAACAAAAAATGTTTGAAAATCCAAATGTTTTATTAGTATCATTACCAAGTATTTTAACTGGCTTACCTCCCTCTCCCCTTAAGTCTAAGATATCCAATATTGCTTTATTAGACTGTGCATAAATTGCAACAAGTAAATTCTGTTTGGCTTCAAGACTACAATTTAAGAGATTATAGTTACAAACCAGTGAAAAGTTCATCCACTTCAGAAAATGTTTGAATATGATTATGCCAAACTTCAATGAACATTATATACCAATTTGATGGTTAATCTAATAACTAGAAAGTATAGTTTTGTTTTAGATATTTCTGAGTTTTTCCCATGTACTTTTAGAACTTTCACAAACATTTTTTATGAGATAGAGCTACAGGGCTTTTCCAAAAAGGTATATGAAAGATACTCTTCCAGTATGCTAGAACAAAGCCCTAAAGCAGCTCTGTATACTTCACACGGTAAGTTCACTATATGTGTTTAAAAATATGTTCAAATATCTTTTCCATTTATATTTCAGTGGTATCCAGTTGGTATTTACACAATAATATTGAGCCAGTGGTTTTTACAGGGAAAAATGGATATACAGTCTTTTCTTTATGGCCTGTGCAAACTATTTTCCCCAATACTATATTGTCTGAACAAACAATGCCACTGAAGAAATTTAACATTCAACTTGCTGGTTTTAATCTCCGAAAGTGACAATCTAATTTTACTGTAAAAGTTCTATCAACAGAAACATGAAAAAAATCTGCATTCTCCCAAATGTCATTAGGTAAAAACTCATTTAGGCAAAATAGTATTTATGCTTCCATTTTATTGTTTTTAAGAATTAAACTGCCACCTCAGTAGTCTTAAGAGCAATATAATGAAACATACATACATTTAGACTATGTCCATCATAGTTTCAAAAGCTTCCCTGAAATAAAGCTGGAATTCACATCTTTTTTCTTTAAGGAAAGAAACACTAACAGTAATTTTGTTATCCTTCTACTACCCACCCACCCCCATTCAAACAATAACTGGACAAATTCAAGTCTAACACATTTAAAATTTTTGTCTGCTTCGACATTCATCTGATCCGCCTCCCTGCATAACTTATATTTCTTAAACCTAGCTGAAAATAAATCATGTTTTAAAAGCCTATGAGAATTAGCCTTAATATATGGAATTTTATCATGATACTAATTTTTTTTTGTTCAGTACATAGGCTAAGTGGTTTCATAACCACATTCAACTCCAGCGAATTTCAATAAAAACAGAAGAGTTCTTCATAAATAGTTGAGAAGCTCTAAAATGAATCTATTCTCTTATTACATGAAACAAAGAATGGTATTGGATTTTCAACAGTAATATTTTAACGGCTCCTAAATAAGGGCATGAAAGGGAGTCAAGTTTGCACCAGTCCAAGTACCTACAGTAATATGACAGACACACTCACCACCAACTTTTCACACTGTTTCACTCCCATGCTAATAAAATTTCCTCGCTAAAAATATTACATCAACACTGGACTCTCAAATTGATAGGTGTGAAAAATCATTTCACTTAAAACAAAAGTGTATTAGTTATTTTTGACTGGTCATGGTTGAAATGGCCATCTGTATTATTTCTAACTTCAGCTCTAAGTTCATAGATGACCTTTCATCTGATTATCCAAGATGAGAAATTGCTTTGCCTGTACCTGACAGAATTAAATGGTAAACCAGCAATCAGTTCACTCTTTGTCAAAAAGAATGTTCTAAATTTATACACTACAAACTATTCAATAATGATATCTGCACACTACGTATTTCATGTGTATATTATGCACCATTTTAGGGGGGAGGAAATACTTCACAGGGGTTTATTCAAAGGATATATAATAATATCCTAAGAATAATGAATTGTACATGAGTTCTGTAGAAACTGAGTGGTTATCTTAGCGGACTATAGCAAGCCCCTATAATGCAAAAGCTGACTCTAAAGGCACCTTATAAAGCACTGAAATTCACAATTTAGTCATTACTTTTCTCCAATACAAAATCATCTGATAGTCTTCAGTGTTGACTCCACACTAAAACATCCCAAGTTTTAGACTGCTTAACCAATAAAAAAAAAAAAGGAAATCATTAAGTTTTAAAATTTCAAGTTAGAGAAAGAAACCTTATCACACAGTAATGAAACCTGAGCAATGCAAGTCTGTGACTACAAGAATGTCCTTCATTAATACAGTATTCAAATTCCTCCATGGCATTCAAATTGTGATTTAAAACCCAATAAACAAGACCCCACTTAAGCACAGGATCAAACTCTATCATGAAATGAGGATTTACATAAAGCCTATTCAGCCCTAAATATTTAGTTTAAGACAATGAGCAGAGTAGAATACACTTCATCTAATGAACAATTTAAACAGTTCTATAAAATAATGTTACTTAAGATTAATAAGTGTGGTGAATTATGTGATTTTAACCATTCAGTAAAAGCGTTAATGAGTAACAGCATCCCCCAACAGTTTGGAGCCTGTAGAGTTGATAACTTTGGCCGTATCTTTCCAAATAATTAGTAATGCCTTTAATATTACATGTATTTTGGTGCTCTTGAACAGCCTAAAATGAAAAGGCATCCAAGTGAAGAGCATTATATACTTAACATACTTCAAAATTTCAGTGCCTAAAATGTGAAATAATTCTCTACCATTTAACAGTCTGCCTTATAGTAAATTCTAGATTTTTACTTTTAGGATTTTATTGTAACTTTGGGAAATTAGTGGTAAAACATATGGTTTTAAAAAACAGTATGTGGCTGCACTTAAATTCACATAAAAATAGCATTTTTACAACCATATTGAAATTTAATCCTTTTACACAGGTTAACAAAATGTATCACAAGAAAAATGAAACTGGGTTTAACAAAAGCAATACTTTTGAAAGTGGAACAATAAAAATTTTCTATTTTTTTACAAATGGTCACCTCTGGGTCAATTTACCACACTAGGGGAACAAAGTTGTTAAAATATAGCTGTGCTCTACTGAGCCACTTATCTACACTACAGTATAGTACTTGAAATCAATCCTAAGGTGAAGATTTAAAACCATTTTGAGACAAGACCCTAAGTGTTTTATAGCCACCTCAGTAAGAGGTATTTTTCCTTCCCAGAACAGTCAAAGCTTAATTAAAAGATTGACTATACATAAGTTTTTTTTCCATCTTATCTTCAGTTCGAAATACTATTATCATTGATAATATGGTCTGTATCTTGTCTGATCTGGATGATGTGGTCCAGGAAGAGGGGTTTGAGAAGGCGGACCCTGCATTCGTGGAGGAGGTGGTGGCCCTCTTGGTGCAGGCCATATACCAGGACTCATTCCCCCTGGTTGTGTAAATGGAGGGCTCAGAGTTCCTTGATCTTCAGTGAACTGGGGTAAAGAGTTAGGATTATAATGGTGAGGAGGGGGTGCAGTAACAGGTGGACCACCATGTTGAGGTGGGGGAGGTCCTGGAGGAGGATGATTCATATAAGGTGGCATCTGGGCAATAATATGTCCAGGGGGAGGGGTTATTGGTGGTGGAGCAGAGGTCATTGGTGGAGGTGGAGCTTGGCTATAAACCAAGTGAGGAGTACCTGCAGCCTGGGGAGGATGTGGCATTGGATGGCTTATTGGTGGTGGAGGAGGTGGGGGTGGTGCATAATGTTGCTGTGGAGGCATAATATGATGAGGGTGCGATACCACTGGTTGACCCTGATATTCAGGATGATGGTGAGCAGGTGCTGGGGCAGGAGGTGGTGGTTCTCTAGCACCTGAATTTGAGTCATCCTGAATAGGGACGGTTATTAAATTGCTGTGTTTTCTTGTTGAAATACGAAAGGTTTCCTGACTGACCGAACGAGGTGGAGGTGGAGCCATGGACAATTCTGCTGGAGGAGCACGAATATCCTCATGTGGCTGATTATAGTGCTCATGTGAAACATGTTGCAAAGGAGGTGGTGGCATCATGATGTGCTGCTTTGGCGGAATATGGCTCATATTATGGTGCTTGTCTGGCGGCATTATAAAACGATCAGGGATTTCAGTTGGTGGTGGGGCAATAGGAGGATGAACATTTTCAAGTGCAGCACGGGTAACAGGTTTCCCAGCTCTCATATGGCGGTGGTTGATATGAGCCTGTAAGTCTCTCTGAGACAAATACGTTCTCTTGCACCCTTGAACAATGCTACACATGAAGAGAGAACCTCGTGTACACTGCTCAATTCGCTGCACAGGATCACTACAGCTAAATTAGAAAAAGAAGAAAAACTGATTTACTAAAACAGACTTTAAAAATAATGCACTTAATTTCAAAGATATGCTTATTTTTTAATTTGTTATGGAAAATTTGCAAAAGTTCACAATTAAAAATTATACCGTAAGTGAACCTTTAATTTTTCTCACTTTGTTGTTTGTTCACTATTAAGCATCAGCATTTCTATCAACTTCAGAACTCTCAATACAAGAAAAACTGAAAATCTATTAAATACAGTATGTTTTAAAAAAAGACCTTATTCTTCCCAAGACTTAGAATTTATCTGATTTTCTCTAACAAGTCTATGTTTTCCAACCATTTGCAAAAAAAAAAACCAGGGTGGTGACAAACCAAATGTCACAATTACGGAATTCAAACTTGTAATGGTATTTACTGAACAACAAGAATTTGCTGAGGAAATACTAAGTGAAGGATACTAAGTGGAAGATGCTGCAAGGACTACAAAAACAAGTAAGATCAATCTAATTATCAGGGTTCTTAACATTAAACAACATAAAATTTAAATTCAAACCCTGGCTATCAAGAGTCTCTTAAGGAAGGGATCTTTCTGGATGGTCAGTCAAATTTACTACTAAAAAGTATTCCATACTCCTGACTTTCTAAATTGTAAGCACTAATTTAAACTCAATATTTTAATGACTCAGGGTCCAAATTATAACTATTCTTCATTCTCTATACTTAATCTGGTCTAGCTTTTAGAGTCTTCTGAAACAGTGGAGAGAGGGCTAAACTAGGAATCAGAAGAAATGGGATCTGGTACTGGCTATGTAATCTTGGAGAAGTCATTTAATGTTTCTTCATCTATAAAATGGGTTAAAACATCTATTCTACCTAATTCAATGTTTTTATATTTACTTTGCCAGAGAATATCCTTAAGATCAATGTAACAATGAAAATGACTGAATTTAATCACTAAACACTATTTATGCAGAGCTAGCTATTATCATTGCATATGTATGCCAGGTAATTTGACCCTATATTAAATAGCTCTATATTCTTGATTTTTGAGTTGTGTCTGTATTTCCATTCTTGCTGTAAGGCTGGCACTCCTCCTTAATACTAATAGGATTCCCTTTAATGGCCATTTGACACACTTCTCAGATCTGGGTCTGTTAATCCAGATAGGCTTATGTTCTAAGTAGCCTTATAAGGGCCAACCAGTGAGGTGCTTTCTGGGGTTATGTTTAATACCTTGAAAATTAAATTCCCTTTTAAATATTAACATTAGAACACTTATAACAAAGAAAAAAGCTTTTAATGTACTCTACATAGTGTTTTGCAACGTCTAAAATCTTTATCCCAATGAAGCTATCAAATAAATTTGCTATATAAAGTGAATGTATACCATATTGGAAAGTTAGGCATTAAAGAAAATTAGGCAAACAAGCAAATATGCACTTTAAATTTCACAATTCTTCTAAATTACAACTGCAGGGAAGAAATATTCTTTAAACTCATACTATAGATTTTACAATCTGTGACTTTAAAGAGCATCAGTTTTTACTAGTTTGTCAATGAATCATCCTTTTTCTCTCAGTGATGCCAATCTTCCTACACCATAAAAGGAAATCATCCCTTACAAGTGTCCAGGGTTTTGCTATCAACCAAAAGTACAACTCTTGGGATAGCTTCTGACACATTTAGAAGAAATCTAGGACAAGGAAGCTTTTCTCAAAGCTTTCCTCAAGTCTTCTATCAGGGGTTCCACATTAATATAAAATTCCTAATTTAATGTGGATACTTCAAGACCATTCCAATATAGATTAGTATGAACCAATACCTCTAGATCTTCCTAACTTACCTGAGTCTATACCATGATGGTATTAAGATACACTCAAGACGTAATCAGATTTGAAGGTAATAAATAAGAGCTTATACTTACATATGTACTTACTATATGCTAGGTACCATATGTATACTTACTGAATTCTAATAATAACCCAAGGAGGTAGGTGCTATTATTAGCTCCATTTTACAGAAAAAGAAACAGTCTATATCACATAGCTAATAAATGGTGGAAAAGGGATTTGAACCCAGGAATTCTAATCCAAAGTCTTTGCTCTCAATCACTACCTCACTAGTATCCCATCAAAACAAGAAAATAACTGTTTTTGGCTTAAAACAAATTTTGTGATGACAATATATTTTGTCATTTTGGCCAAATTGAATTGACTGATAACAACTACCTAGCCCTATCCTAAGGAGAAGACTAAGGCCAACTCTGGGCTCACAGAGAAAGAGTAGCCATGCCTACACATGTGATATCCTGTCGCTGGTTTACATCACCTCTGACCTTTAATCAAGATTATAAATCTACAGCACAAACTTTATTATTTAAAAATTTAATGATGACCTTACCCTGGACACATCTTATCTCCCTTTTTTTCATGTAAAATTGCACAGTCATAGCAAAAAACATGCTTGCATGGGATCTGTAAACAGAGATTTATTACAGTGAAGAATATTAGAACAAATTAAAATATTTCCAAAAAAATAACAGTAAGAATAGTAACCTAGACACAGAAGACACTTGAGAACTATTTGTTAAAACGAACATTTATTAAGTACTAATTTTATAAAAGCAATAGTCTTTTTCAGATACAAGTCCTTTGAGAATGTGATGAAAACTTTGGCCCTTTCCCCAATAAATGTATACATGCACATTTGCTTATACTTCCTGAAGGTATAAACCCTATGAATTTCATCATGGTCCCTACTGGTTAAAAGCTCCTGAAAAATAATACTGTAACCATGTTTTATATTATCCTTTTCCTCCTAAAACTTTTACAAAGCAGTAAGATAACAAATATCTCCTACATTTAACATAAGTAGCATTTTTCCCTGGTAGCCTTACTGTAATAAACATAAAAAAATCTAAAAATAAATCAAGACATAGAGAAATAATGTTACGCCATTTTAAAACTCATAGCCCATTACTGTTATTTAGCTATGTTATACAGTAAAGCAACAGTGCACAATCAATGCCCTCTACCATCACGAATATATTATTGAATTCGATTTTTCCCCAAACACAAATGTAAAACTACCTTTTTAAAAAGGAAGATGTCAAAAAATACTATAAAATTACAGTTAGGGTTGTAATTTATTTTAATTATTAGAATTAAATTCTCCGAAATAAAAATATAATCAATTCAGTTTTATAATAAAAATTATGGCCTTTAGAAATGAATAACAACTGATTTTATTTTATTAAACAAGGAAAAAACACATTTCTCCTTAATAAACAGAATAAATATAAACTAACAGGTATCAAACAGTCCAAAGAAATTATTTAGTTTTCAGAAGTTAGTTCCCTTAATTAATATTTTACAAGCAATTCAGGAGCTTGTCAAGATAATTATATTAAATGCATATTGTCCCAAAATTTCCCTTAGCTATTTCACTTTTTAAAAAAAAATTTTATTTTATTTTATTGATCTTAGAGAGTGAGGAAGGAAGAGGGAGAGGGAGGAAGGGGAAAAGGAGGGAATGGAAGGGGTAGTGGGAGAGGAAGGGGGAGGGAGGAAGAGAGGGGAGAGAGAGACATATTGATTTGTTATTCTCCTTATTTATGCATCCATTAGTTGTTTCTTCTAATGTGCCCTGACCAGACCGGGTATCAAGCCCGTAAACCTTGGTGTATTGGGACAACACTCTAACCAACTGAGCTACTGGCCAGGGCTTCACATTTATTTTAAATGTTACAAACCTAAGTCATTGAACAGTGATAAACCTATCTACTTAAATTTCAGAATCCTATCTCTACAAAAATGTTTACATTTACAAAAACAGAATTCAATTTAATTATACTTACCATTCGCCCATAGATCTTAATAGGCAATCCACATTTGTCACAGAAATGAACTGGTGTATCATCCTTTTCACCCAGGATGTTTATCTGTGGAAATGATATAATTACAATTTCCTTTTTAAGAATTTCTAAAAAATCATACCTATAATTTACACAGTGAATTTACACTTTATAAATATTGTTAAAGCAATTAGAAATAAAAGTTTCTTGGTATCTGCACATATTCTACACCATTGTCTGTGCTACCAGTTTTTTGTTGTTTCTTTTTTCTTAGTGTTGTTTTTGATTTTACTTTACTTTACTAAAAATTGCTTCAAATTATTTTTGGAAATGGAAATAGGGCATTAATAAACAAATGTGTGTGCTGAAAGACACAGCTATAATAAGAGTTCATGCCATTCTTTATGTATCCTCTGTTCTAATAAAATATTTAAAATATTTTATTGTTCTAATAAATGCTTTTATTTTAGTTATACCTGAAAGTCCCAAAAAAGGTGTCCAGGAAATCTTCGCTGATTTCCAAACAGTTCGCCCCCTTTACAGTCATACCGTTCTTTTTCATTATAATCAAATCCTTCTGAGAAAAGAAAGGGTTATCTATTAACTTTTCATATCTCAAATTTCATTTTGGAAGTATATGTACATGGTAAAATAAGCTTATTCCCTGATGCTTTTCAGAGCTCTATGAACAAGATAATCAAGATTAGTTCAATCATCAGCTAGAAATTATCTTGGTGATCATGTAGTCCAACTCTCTTACTTCAAAAATGAGAATATTGCAGTAAGGAGACCGTAACAACACAGAGAAGGTGAGTGGCAGAGCTACGAACAGACCTCAGATCTCTTCACTCCCATTCAAGTGCTCTTATTACTGACCCAACTATTTCTAGTATAAAACTTTACTAATTACTATCATGCTTATTACACAAATTTTTAAGATATATATCATTTACTCTGTCTACAAAAGTAGTATCATGATGCAAGAGGAAAAAAGAATATAATGAAACATAAAAAATTCTGCACATTTTCTTCTTATGACTTAATTAGGTATCTACTTCTTCAGCCTTAAACTGAGCCTGATTTTAGAAATATCAACATGTTGATACTTCATCCTTTCGATTAAAACCACTCCTTGGTTAATCATCCAAATAGAAAGAGCCATATCATATCTACTTAAAAGTATCCTCCCTTACACTGCATATATCAATATCAGCAAACTTAAAACAATATGAAGATCGAATGAGCTCAATTTCTCTGATCTAATGAAAAGGTTGATGGTAATCCTCTCATCCCATACAAAAGAACCGAAAACCAATGAACAGTCTGATAGGGATTCTAGGTAGAATCCAATTAACTAAAATAAAACCAAGAAGACAAATCTATCCCTCCAAAGTGCCAGGCTTTTCAAAACTCTTTTGGCCGTATAACTGGTAAACGGAGTAGGGAAGCACACAAGTTTTAACTTTACCCATGTGTGTAAATTACAGCACTTGTGTACAAACACACAAGCATGAACCAGGACAGGACAGACAGAGGGACAGACATACACACACAAGGAAACACACAGTGATGCAAGAATTTTTTTAAAGCTAATATATACACTCCAGAGTACTATCTAATTATCTCCAATCAAATGTAGAATTCAAAGAGTGTCCTTGTAAGTTACAACTCCATGACCTTAGGCTCTTTTATGGCCCATTTATACCTTGTAAAAGCTGGTGTCATCTAAAACTCAAAAATAAGAAAATCAATTTTTCTTATTTATCTAACACTCAAAAAATTATTAAGCAGAACAGCCAAGGAAATCAGGAGCACATTATCATTTTTCAGAGTACTTCAACCGGCACTGCCATCTATCATTAAACCATATATATTTGTATAGATACCATACCGGCAACCAAAACTCCATATTGTGAACAATGCCTAGGGGGTAATAAAAGACAATTAATAATTTTTACCCCAAATAGGTGAATCTAATGTATCCAAAAATCATCTTCAGCCTCAGTATACTCTATTGAGAGAGAGACTAGTAATGGTAGTTCCCTCCAGAAAGGGATATGGGCTTGGGGGAAGGAGGCGGAAGATAAAGGGATACCTGAGAGGAAATGGGTAGAAGAGGGATTTTAGCTTTTTTGCATTGTTTGGATTATTACAAGATATGTACATTACTGTGTAGTTTTAAAAAATTATTTAGAAAACAAAAAGGCCAAAGGAGGAGACCCTAGTTACTGATAATATAGAAGCAGCCCTAAATTCTACAACTTTTTTAAATGGGGAGAGAAATCCTATAATAAAGGGAACCATAATATAAGGTACAATTAAAACAGTTTGATTCTAAAATAGGAATATAGACACATTGCTAAGATAGAATAGACTATCTAGAAATAGATACAGATATTTTAGAACTTTAACATATAATAGTGGGATTCCTACTCAACAAGGAAAAGACAGATTATTCAATGGTTGGGACACATAGCTAACTGTTTTACAGAAAAAATAAACAAAGCCAGACTCCACTTTTTTAAAAAAATAACAAAATGCCTATCATCCATAATGTTCCAAAGCAGGGGTCAGCAAATTTTCTGTAAAACTCCAGATAAGTAAATACTTATGCAATTACTCAACTATGCCATTATAGTGTGAGAGCAGCTGTAAACAATACTTAAATGAATGGGCATGGCTATGTTCCAGTAAAACTCTATTTGGCCCACAGGCCATAGTTTGCTGACCCTGTATAAGGGTAAGACGGGTAATAAAACCTAGAAGTCATAACAGAAAAGACTGGATATCTGCTACCTAGAATCTTCAAACTTCTCTAGTAACAAAAATTTTATACATAAAATTCAAGACAAATGGGGAATATACATAATATATGACAACGGGCCAATTTTATTAATTTACAAAGAACTCGTAAAAATCAAGAGAATGAAAACTAAACTGAAAATAAAAAGGAAAAGGATATAAACAGGTAAATCCTAAACAAAAGAAATGAGCAATAATATGAAAAGATATACCAGGCGTGGGGAACATCAGGCCTGCAGTACTGCCTGAGAAATCATTTTGTCTGGCCTTGCCAAGGCAACTGCAGGCGGGACTCAAAATTCAATAAATTTAGGAGCTTTTTTCGTAGCTAATTTTTAAGTTGATAATTTTGTATGGCCTGAGAATGATGTTATAAATATCCAAATGGCCCCTGGGAGAAAAAAGGTTCCCCACACCTGAGATAAACAAACCCACTCATAATTTAAAAAACAATACATTAAAACAAAAGTTTTGAAAGATTAATAGTATGTACTAATATTGGTGTGTGGAAGTATAAAAATGATGTACCATTTTTGAAGAACCATTTGACAATATTTGTCAAGTTCTAAAATGCACAGTATCCATTAAGATCTAAAATGCCCAAATCACGCAAAGTTTAAATTCTACAAAGTATACATACTAAGGTATAAGTACAAGGATATTTAGTGCAACATTGTTTTTAACAGAAAACTGGAAAAACTGTTAAATAAGTATGGTATAGCCATAAATGAAATACCGAAACCTATTTTCTTAAATGAGATATATCTGTGTGTACTGAGAAGGCAAACTCTCAAAGCACCTTACATGAAAAAAAGGGCAGTTATAGATGAAAAGAGTAACTCTAAAAAAACTCATAAAGGATCATTTTGGGGGAGAAAAGTTGTGGAGGAGAAAGGGACAATTTTACATTTAATATTATGTTTTCTGCAATAGTTTAGATTTTAGCAATAGGCAGTGTTACTTTCAACAACAAAAGAAACTAAACCCAAATACAGGGTGGGGCAAAAGTAAGTTTACAGTTGTGAGTACATCAAAGTTTATTCTTGATTATTATTTGTTAATTATTGTATTTTTTTTCCATATGAACAACCATAGACCTACTTTTGCCCCACCTGTATTTATAAAGGGACAGAAAAGTACAACATGCCACAATGAGACATCAGGAAGACTGAAGACAGTATGTAAGATTTTTACAAGGTAGCTATAAGCAAGTAAAATCACATGGATTATTTGGTGGAAGTACATACAACAAAAAGACTTCTAAACCTGTTAGTTTAGCCAAAGTACCTTCATCACCAGGTGGAGGCTTTGCAGGCATTCTGTTTATAGTCCTTGGTGTGCGAGGTGCAGCTTTGGCTTTGCTCCCTTGTTTGGAGATGAGCTTTATAGGAATTCTTCTTCGAACATCAAGACCACCCAATGATCCAGAACTATTGGTGCCTTGTAACTCATTGTCTATGTTAGGGAAAAAATGTTGTAATTTCTGTTAGTTTTTCTTTTTGAAGATTATTCTGCCACAGGTATTAAAGCGACATACCCAACATTATCAAGGTTTGAATATCTGGGTTCTGATTTTTTTTTTCTTTTAATGTATCTTTATTGATTTCAGAGAGAGGAAGGGAGAGGGAGAGAGAGAGAGAGAAACATCAATGATGAGAGAGTCATCATTGATCAGCTGCCTCCTGCGCCCCCTCTACTGGGGACCAAGCCCGCAACCCGAGCATGTGCCCTGACCGGGAATCGAACCGCAATCTCCTGGTTCCTAGGTTGATGCTCAACCACTGAGCCATGCCCACCTGGGCATCTGGGTTCTGATTTTAAATACTGTGTTATACAAGTTTAAGTGCTAATTGTCTCTATTTTGGATAAACCCTTAAAGAAATGCTTTTTGAGACATGGAACCTTTCAAAAAGTTGACAAAAGTTATAGAACTCTCCCTAAAAATGTAGACAATAAAATTTTTCATTTAATTCCAGAGGGGTTTAATAGAAACATAAAACCCTTCATAAACCCAAGATAAGAACTTGTCTTAAAGTAAGTATAAGAGATATTTTAAAAGAAAAAAAGGGAGAGAAGAAGAAATAGAAAAAAAAGCATCCCTATCTCCATCAAGCATGCAAAGTAGGCATTCAATAAAATTAACAGTGACAATGGTAAAAGTAAATAAACAATGCACTGAATTGAAGTTTGGTTTAAGGAAAGTGATTATTCCCTTAAGTGTAAAATAGTTTTTCTAAAAAGCATTTGGAAACATAGTAAAAATTATCACACTATTTAATAATAGAAAGATGCAATAACATATCTGCACCATATTTCTAGATGTACACATATGACCCTTAGTATTGAAATGGAAAATTAGTTTAGGAAGATGCAAGGTTTCTGTACTTCAACTAGATCTAAACAACTGATACTTTCTAAGTCCCTACTTGTTTTTGACTATGAAATAAATTAACTCATATCCCATGAGTAACAGGAGCATTACTTCATAGAACTGACTCCTTAAAAGTCACCTTTTCAAGTCTATGACATGATATTATAGTACAGAAAATATTTACTTTACCTACTAAAGACAGAAAGGGAAATACCACAAAGTAGGAAATGCAAATAAAATAGTTTTTAAAACATGACAAGCTATTTTTTTTAATCCTCACCCAAGGATATTTTCAGAGACAGTGGAAGGGGGAGAGAGAGAGAAACATCGATGCGAGAGACATCTATTGATTGCCTCCTGCAGGTGCCTCAACTGGGACCGCGGTTGCAGCCTGCAACCGAGGTACGTGCCCTTTGCTGGAATCAAACCTGGGACTCTTCAGCCCGCAGGCCGGTGCTCTAACCACTGAGCAACCCGGCGAGGGCAAAACATGACAAGTTACTGAACAGGTTCGTTTAACTGCCACGGTAGGAGATAGTACAATTGAGATTGATACCCAAGCTGTCCACATTAAATTCAGTAAAGCCAAACTTGAAAGTAGTAACTAATGACGTCCAAGGCTAGTAGGACTACAAATTAAATTCACAATGATGATTTGCACTCCTGAACAATATATAGAACAAAATTCCAAAGGGATCCTTAATGCTTTAAATAGAGACTGATGAATGTCAGAGGGATGGAGGAGGGCGGGTGGGTGGAGAGAGAGAGAGTAACCAAAGAATTTATATGCATATATACACAACCCAAGAACACGGACAATGGTGGGGAGAGGGACTGGGGAGGGGGATGGGACGGGGTGGAACAGGTCATTGGGGAGAAAAAGGAACATCTGTAATATTTTAAACAAAAATAAAATTTAAAAATTAATAAAAAAATAATTTAAATACATTTCAGTCTACTTTCTACTATTACTTTTATAATAGCTAACTCTCAAAACAAAATTCATGGAAAAGGAATTACATGGATAGCTAAAATCCTGAGTTCAGATAAACCCAACTTGATCTACTTTCAAAACTTTGCTAAATGTATTAATGAGTTAAATAATGTATTTCATCTGCTTTCACTCTAGTTGCTTAAGTATAACTACCTACAAGCAATGTAATAGCCAAAAGACAGATATGACAGAATGATTTTTTTTAGCTCAAAGGTTTTTCAATAACTAAAAAAGCAAGTTGTTGTAGACAGAGAGTTAACAGTTCAAGTTTGCCCTTCAGATATTAAAAGGACCCTTGCCCTGGCCGGTGTTGCTCAGTGGTTAGAGCACGGGCCCTCGCACCAAAGGGTCAAGGGTTAGATTCCCAGTCAGAGGCATGTACCTTGGTTGCAGGATAGATCCCCTGCCCCGGTTGGGGTGAGTATAGGAAGCAACCAACAGATGTTTCTGTTTCTGTTTCTCTTTCTTCACCCTTCCGTTTCACTCTCTCTAAATATCAAGGGGGGGGGGAATATCCTTGGGTGAGGGTTAACAAAAAAATTAATGAAAGGACTCTTAATGGTTTTACCTTGGTGAATGATCAAAATACCAACATTCCATTACAAGTCCTTTTTATATCACTGGAACACTTGAAGTCACTATTGTTGCTTGCTTAGCCTACCAATACTTTCAAGAGCTTGAGTCACTGCCTGCCTCATTCTGGGTCTGTCTTGGGTTTTTTGGTTTATTAAGAATCAGAACATACAGCACAATTTCCTTTTAAATATGCCAACTAAAAACATAAAGCCCGTAACATCAAAAGTCTTTGGATATTACAAAGAAATTGAGAACTAAGGATATAACTGGCCATTTAAGGTAAATCCACTTTAATAATAAATAATGCGTTTGTATTATATAGTTTTTTTTAAGGTGTATTTAGAATTTTATCTTCAATTAGAGAAACCAAGAAATATTTTACAAAATTAGGTTACCGTTACAAGTAGGTGCTAATTCTTAGAATGAATTCAAGTGTTAACTAGAAGTTTCTTGGAGTAATTTTTCCAACAAAATTCTATTAGGACACCACAGGGTAGCCATCACTGTATGTTTAACTATTTCAGCATGATCATAGTATCAGTCATTTTTGTGTAACATTGGAGGGTTCCATCAATTTCCTAAAGGGTATCTCTTAACCCTGATATTAAAATCATTTTCTGAGATGCCTATCATGTCATAATGTCTTCACTGGCTAACAGGCATTTCCTCACTTGCCAATGATTTTATTTGTGATTCAAACAGTTTATGGATTTCATGAAAACCTGAGTCTTTTGTAAGGTTTGCAATCACAATCTATATACAGCATTTGATACTGTTGCCTGATATGAAACATCAAGGATATAACAATATTAACTAAAAGAATAGAAAATTAGCTAGTTAGTGTTAACCAGCAGGGATATCTTAGTAGAAACTAATTTTTTTAAGTGGTCAGCTCATTAGTGAATATTTTCATGTTAGGATAACTTTCACTTTCTTAGGCAACCTTTTAACTTAGGAGAATTAGGATATCAAATACTCAGGTACACACCTACCCATATTATAATTTCTTAACATAATATTCTCTAAACTGTGGATGGGGCCCTGACTTCCATTTCTAGTAACAGGCTCAAACGAGAAATATTTTGCTAACGTTGAATGTTTGCTAGTCTAACATCAAGATCCAAGACTTTCAGTTCTAAAATATTTCCAAACTAGTGAGAGAGTTCTTTAGGGCCTGGCTCTAGGCCCTCTTCTTTTTTGTATTCCCTTTCCTTAAGTGATCTTGTCCATCCTCATATCTTAAAACATCAATTATGCAGTACTAAGTCCCAAATATGTGATTTTTAGCCCAAATCTTTCCTCTGATCGCCACCTGACATCTCCCCTTGCATAACTCAATATATATCTCATACTTAGCAGTCCAAAATTGTGTTACCAAATTCCCACGAAGTCACCTCTACCTCTTAAAAAAAAGTTTGTTTTTCTCCCAAGTCTTCTCCAGCTCAGTAATGGGCACTACCTAGCTGATCAAACCAGAAACCTAGGCATCTCTCCTTTCTCTCACATATCTCTAAACCAACCCATCAGTATGTGTTTAAGTACTAGCACTGAAATATTTATTGAATCTGTCCATTTCCATTTTCACTAAACGGAGGCACCTTTCCTAAGCCAAGCCTCCCTTCTGACTTACTGCAATTACCTCCTAAATTGTCCATTTTCCATTATTCTTGCCTCCCTCTCTTACACCATTCTCCATAGAACCTATTATATTTTTAAAAGAGATTATGTTCCTCCTCTACTTCTATTCACATTGCACTTAAAATAAAATTCAAATCTTTGTCATGGCCTTCAAAGTCTTGCACAGCCTGACAGTTACCCTCCTTTCCACTCCCATCTTTGAGCTCTTTCCCTCTTGCTAATAACTAAGCTGCAGCTAATGGTCTTCTCTTTTTTTCCTACTTGTCTTTACACTTGCTTTCCTCCTGATTTATTTCACGGCTGGTTTCTTCTCATCCATTAGATCTCAAGTTATAAATGTAACCCTTCCAGAAAGAACTTTCCTCACCACCCTGTCTGAAGAGTCGTCCAATTAGTCTTTACCACAGCATCCCTTTATTGTCTTCAAAGAACTTATCATGGTCTGTAAAATTTGAGATTTTAAAAATTTTATTGTGCCTTCCCCAATTAGAATGTCAATCTCCAGACAGCAATAACTTAGTCCGTCTTGTTTACCATTCCATCATTCCATCTCCAGGGCTACAGGTATCTGGCATATATATATTTGATCACTGAGGACATCCCAAACAACACTTAATACAGGGTTTTTTCCCCTACTTGCGATATGGTTGACATATCGTGACATAAAGTGTATGGAGCACTTTCTAACTCCAAACACACTCATTCAATATCCAAAAACCACAGGAAGCAAAAGCCAAAAAAAAAAAAAAAAAAAAAAAAAAAAAAAAAAAAAAATCTAACGAAGAGGGGAGCCATTACTTGGAGAAAGGGATGTGAATATCTTGATTTTAAGCTCTCCTTTGTAAATGTACCCAAATGATAAGTAAGGACCACAGCAGATGCACGGAGCATGCTTTGGGTTTAGGTGGAAAAGCTGCTCCGAATATTCTGAAAACCACATCTGATTCCCTTCTCCCACCTCTAGTCCATGAAGGACTGGAGATACAATAACCAGAGGCGGTGACCACCGCAGCACCCGCCCAAAGCTGACTGAGACAGCAGGAAGTCTCCAACCCACTCTCGCGCATCGACTCCCAGCATAATAAGGCTTCCTCGACTCCGAGATTGGAATCTACCCGCCAGCCCTCATAATGTACAGCAGAGCACCCAGCGCTCTCTCCTCCCCACAGAGCCCGCGGCGCCGGCCGTTCGGGCTCGGAGCTCAGCAGAACCAGGTAAGAAGCGGCTATTGCCGGCACCGAGACTGTGGGTACCACACCGGAGAGTAGGCCGGGAAGCAGCAGGCGCTTGCCGGGCACTGGAAGGAGTCTGTGAGATTTCGTTCTCACCGCCACACCCCAGTGCCGTAGGGCGAGCACAACCACTCCACGCCCGCTAGGCGACCAGTCCCAGGCCGGCCAAGGGGGCTTGGTACCGGGACCCCCCACTGCCTCCGCCTCCTTACCAGTGTGATCCATGATTCGGCTCGCAGAGCACAGTGGGAGCGGAAGTCAACTGAGCCGGAGTCGCAGGGAGCGCGTGCGCGCTACCTTCCGGAGCCTGGGAGGCGGAAGTGCGACCAGGTTGCCCCGGCTTTGGCCTCCAAGGGCTTCGTTCTCTCGCTTACGCTACCCAACGCCGGTGAGGGAGTCGGGCATATTTCGGACGAGGGAGAAAGAGCGAATACGCGAAGAGCTTCGAGGTCGAGGTTGCTACGGCTTCTCCTCAAGTGCTTCGAGAGAAAGTAGCCTTTAACTGTGGAAAGGAAACCGACGGGAATGGGGGAGGGGGAGAGCAGTAGTAACCGTTGGAATAAGCTCTCGGCCGGTAAGGCGAACGCCCACCCCGCGGTGCGTTGCCTTCTGGAACTTGTAGTATGCGGGCGCCCTGGCGCGGGCGGCCAACTGCGCAGGCTCGGCCGTTGGGCTGGCCCCTCCCCGCGGGCGGAGTAACGGTTTGGAATCCCCCAGGGTACTTCAGCGACTGTCTCTTGCCCCAGGTCTAGGAAAAGTGTAAACACGCGCGCTCTGCGAGGCGTCCTCCGGTGGGAGGTTGCCCAGAGGGTGGCTGAGCTGTGTGGACGCCCCACCTAGAGAGAAGGGCTCAATGCTTGTTGTCTAAAGGTCGCTTTGTCGTGAGGAGCTACGTAGACCCGGTTCCCACCTCTTAAGAATCTAACCGTAGCTACACATTTATAATACTCGACTAGCATTCATTTCCAGCGAAAACGCTTGTGCCGCTAGAACTCCCAGAGCGCGGATCCTAGGGCTTGGCGGCGGGCTCAGCTGGAGAGCGCGTGCACCCGGCAGTCGGTGCAGAGTGAAACTGAAGGGGCGGACAGACGGGGTGAGGTGGGGAAGGCGTTTAGGGCTGGCGGCAAGGGGGAGATTAAAAAAGAAAGGCCTGAAAATGAGGAAGAGAGAGTTACCACAACTGGTAGTACCTAGTTCCAGTTCTTGGTCCCAGGGGTTTATGGTTGCTGCTGCTTTCATCTTCCTCAGCCAAAACAAAAGAAAGTGCCAAAGAGGGATTCCTGAGGACCTTCCGTGCAGTCTCCACCTCTCGGACGTGGCTTATTTGTGTGCACTCCCTTCTCCAACTCTTTACGCTTGGTGCCCTTGAATGAGTAGAAAGGAGCACAATTAGTGGAAAACACAAGCTAGGGAGTCAAGGGATTTGGGTTCTATTCTTGTCCTCCCTTGGTGACGACATCGTTACTGGGTCGGTTATTCACGCTTTCAGTGCCAGAGTTCCTAGATAAATAAGAGATGATATTGACCTCTTAAAGAAATGTTGTTGTAGTACTGAATTCCGAATAAAGTGAGTGTAGCAATGTGCTCTATCTGTGTAGTTAGTTATACAGTAACAGCCTTGAATAATAATATGATCAGTACTATAAGTGTTCTGTTTTTGATGGATAGTTTTACTGGGATCTTTTAAAAGACACTCCCACTATATCTGCAGCTTTATAAACAAGTTATTAAGTACATTCACAACTAAGGACAATTGTGAATCAAAGTTACCCCTGCTTTTGTTAAAATGTAAATTTCTGAATTACTAAGTGGTTTTCAAGATGCTTTCAGTTGCTGGGCTTATTTTTTATTTTGGAGGTTGGAGAAAGCTTAACCTTTCTCCCATACCTCCCTGTTTCTCTAAATACACTACTGATATGATAGGACATTTCACCAATTTGGGGTATAAAAGAAGATAGTTTTCACCTAGAAAGAGTTCTTTTTATTTTTGCTCTACTCATATTTAGTATATCGGCCATACTTCAGATTGATGCAAATCCAGGTTCTGAATAATATCAGTGTCTGCTTAAAGAATTAAAATTTAAAAAGAACCTTCAAACTGCAATTTAATCAGTAAATCGGAAGTTTTGTCAGCGTCTTATGGTCCATCAGGTTATGAAAATTTACTGAAGGAAGACTCACTTATGTTAGACTTCCTCTTGATAAAATGTTAGATAAAAATTTGTTGAATTATTTGATTTGGCATCTGTTGTTTTCATGCATTGCTTTAGCATCTGTGCTCTATATTCATTTCTCCCTTAACTCAAGTTGCCTCACTTTACCAGTGCAGTAACAATGTGACAAATTATTCTCTTTACCTAAATTGGTATGTAAAACTAGACACAGACATATTTTATTAGTATGCTCTGGTATCTATTGTTGGTGATCCGTATGCTGTAATTAGTCACAGTTTCTTTACTGAAAGTTGACATTCACATTTATTTTATAGCATAGTACTATCCTAAGCTTTATAAAAATGAAACATCATCATAATTGACAATCTGAAGCACTGAGGTGCATATTTTCATCTTTGTGACAGACCATCTGCTAGCCTATAAATTATAAGCCAGTGTTTTTCAAGACGTTCTGATATTTTTCCATTTACCTAGCTAGCACTGTTGATGCTATGAGAAAAATAGAATGGTGTCAGAGAGCTTGTTTTCCCAAGAACTTGTTTGAACTCCTCAATACAAGGTCGGGACATTAACCTTCATCTCCTTAATGCTCTTTCAGTTGAGTCACTCTGTAGTGCCTAAGACTGCAGAAGGTAAGAACTGTATAAATAATAGTCCCTAACTCAAGTACTGTACAGGTCGGCATTTGTAGGAATAATTAAAAACACATAATTCTGTGTGTTTTGAGGGAATGCAGTGCAACCTACAGTCAGAGAAAATAATGAACAGTAAGACTGAGAATAGTTAGGTAGGCTTATAGAAAGATTTAAGCTGAGCCTTGATTAACAGGATTTGAAGAGAAGAGCAATGAAAGAGGCATATCAAACAGGAAAGAGTAACAGCACAGATGTGAAAATTGTTATAGCTTCTATATAGGACAGTGACCACCTTGAATTGTACTGTTGATCCATGCTTTGAAGTACTGAAAAAATAAGGTGTAATTATAGAGAACCTTGAAAAGTAAGATTCAGAGTAACAGTTAAGAAAGAACATATCAACAAAACCTAGCATGATATATACACAACATAATTCAGAGTGATACATTAAAAAACAATGAGCAAATCTTAAATTTAGGGGGCTGGAGGGAGGAGCGAATTAATACTGTCACATGTAAGAGAAGAACGATTGACTAAGAAGCCAGAGATCACTATGATGGCAGAAATGACCGCAAGTACAAATGAACTGTTAATATGAGAAGACATGATCAGGATAGCTTTCATACACATTAACAAGTGTGCAGATTATTTTTTATTGAGTTGTACCCTTGAAACCTGTATGGTTTTACAAACCAGTTACCCCAGTAAATTCAATTTAAAAAAGAAAGTAATCGTTTTTGTTCATTTGGAGACCCAGTTCTCAGGAGGTAGCTAATACATAGTGTAGGAAAGAAACTCCAAGTAGCTTTGTTCTTGAATTTCCTGGCATTCTTGGTCTTTGGTATCTAGCTATCTTCTTTCTCATCACCCCTTTGCCCAGCAACACAAAGATTGTCTTCCCCATACTAAGGTTTATCCTTCCATACAGACATTTGTAGAATAGCACATCCTCTTTGAAACACCATGAGAGATAAAGCAGTGGTTTGCAAATTAAAATTCCAAGCCAGTAGTATACTTTGACATTTTTAATTTTCTGAGGAAACTCCATACTGTTTTCTGCAGTGGTTGCACCAGTCTGCATTCCCACCAGTAGTGTCCTATGGTTCCCTTTTCTCCACATCCTCACCAGCATTTGTTTGGTTTAATGATGATAACCATTCTGGCAGGTATAAGGTGATACCTCATTGTACTTTTAATTAGCATACCTCTGATTAACAATGTTCAGCATTTTTCATATGTCTATTGGCCATCTGTATGTCCTCGAGAAGCATTGTCTATTCAGGTCCTTTGCCCATTTTTTAATTGGATTGTTTGTCTTCCTGGGTTTGAGTTGTTGAGTTCTTTATATATTTTGGAAATTAACCCCTTATCAGATGTATCATTGGCAACATTCTCCCATACAGTGGGCTCCGTTTTCATTTTGTTGGTTTCTTTTGCTGTGCAGAAGTTTTTTAGTTTGATGTAGTCCCGTTTGTTTATTTTTTCCTTTGTTTCTCTTGCCCTAGGAGATATATCAGTGAAAATACTGCTATGTGAGATGTCTGAGATTTTTACTGCCTGTGTTTTCTTCTAGGATTTTTATGGTTTCACATTTAAGTCTTTTATCCATTTTGAGTTTATTCTTGTGTATGGTGTAAGTTGGTGGTCTAGTTTCATTTTTTTGCACGTACCTGTCCAATTTTCCCGACACCATTTATTGAAGAGACTGTCTTTACTCAACTCTATGCTCTTGCATCCTTTGTCAAATGTTAATTAACCATAATGCTCTTGGTTGACTTCTGGGGTCTCTATTCTGTTCCAATGGTCTATATGCCTGTTCTTGTGTCAGTACCAGGCTGTTTTTATTACAATGCCTTTATAGTATACTTTGATATCTGGTATTGTGATGCCTTCAACTTTGTTCTTCTTTCTCAAGATTGCTGAGGATATTCGTGTATTTTGGCTCCATATAAATTTTTGGAACATTTGTTCTAGATCTATGAAATTACCTGTGGTATTTTAATAGGGATTGCATTGAATCTGTAGATTGCTTTGGATAGTTCGGTCATTTTAATGATGTTAATTCTTCTAATCCATGCACACGGTGTATTTTTCCAATTGTTTCTGTCTTTCTCTACCTCTTTTTTCAATGTCCTATCATTTTCTGTGTATAAGTCTTTTACCTCCCTGATTAAATTTATTGTTACGTACCACATTTCTTTGTTTGCAATGGTAAATGGGATTGTTTTTTTAGTTTCTCTTTCTGAAAGTTCATTATTGGTGTATATAAATGCCATCAATTCCTTTATTTTTTAATTCATTTATTAAATCCAGCAGTTTTTTCATGGAGACTTGGGTTTTCTATGTACAGTATCATGTCATCTGCAAATAATGACAGTTTTACTTCCTCCTTTCCAGTTTGGATGCCTTTTATTTTTTCTTTGATCACTGTGGCTAGGACTTCCAGTACTATGTTGAAAAAGAGTGGTGAAAGCAGACATCCCTGTTTTGTTCCTGATCTTAAGGGAAATGCTTTTAGTTTTTCCCCATTGAGAATGACGTTTGCTGTAGGTTTGTCATATATGGCCTTTATTATGTTGAACTATGATACCTCTATTCCCACTTTTCTGAGAATCTTTATCATAAATGGGTGCTTGGTTTTTATGCTTTTTTTGTGTCTATTGATATGATCATGTGATTTTTATCCTTCATTTAGTTTATGTGATGTACCAAG